TGTGTGTGTGTGTGTGTGTGTGTGTGTGTGTGTGTGTGTGTGTGTGTACGTGAACGAGACCGAGAGAAAAACAGACAAACTGTAAGACTTTGTCCCATTCACCTATGACGACCTTTTGTCCCGAGTATGGATCAACTTCCCATAATGCATTGTGGTCAAATCTTTCTTTCGACCTTCCCCACTTTTACTACTCAAATCCTTCAAACTCCATATTACCACTTTCTGCTAAATAAGCCGAATGCCTGAAACACACCAAGCAAGTGTGGCTCTCTGCAATAATTACGTTTTTCTCTGCAGCCAGGAAGCGTGTTCGTCTGTTTCAGATGGGAAGAACTTCTTTGTAACAGAGGCCAACATGTCACAGGAGTCCGTTTACTGATTGGCTGCCGGTATCCTCCAATTGCAATTTACCGCCGAGAGTTAATTTAATCTCCAACTTTTAGTTTGGCCGCACCTCGCCACAGAATGAAAGAGCTGCCGTGCTGAGCAGCCGTAGCTTTTCATTTTAATTGCACCGTCGCCTCGCCGCAGGCCACTCTGCACCACTGCTCTGGTGCGTTTTAGGCACAAGAGTACACCGCCATTAAGGTTGCACTCAAGCTAAATGCTGACTTCGGCCTCTAACAAGCTCACCATGAAAGTGTGAGCAGACTGTGAGATTATGTTTACCGTGTTCATGGTCTTAGTTTCGCATGTCAGCATGCAAACTAAATAGCATGAAACACAGCTGAGGCTGATAGGAATGTAATTAGCTTTGCAGATATTTGTTCAAAAAATGTAGCCCCTTGACTCCACTTGAGAACACTTTAATAGGTTTAATATGTTGCTGAAACCTTCACGTTTCTTTACATTCTCCTACCCAAACAGCATCATCATTTTATCGGTAAAGAAGTGTAAAATAACGAATTTTCTCATTGTGTTGGTGAGGTCTCAGTAGCACAGCAGTGTCCTCACCGGCCCAAATAATGGGCCGGTGAGGACAAATATTTCGTCCAAATATTCTCGCTGAGGATTAATGTGGATCCCAGCCATCATTGGCTGAGTTCTACCTTCCTTCAGAGAACAGGGCCAGGTCTTCTCTCTGTGCTGTGGCCTACATTAGCTTCTATACAGGGACTCCATCTGCTCCAAAGTGACACCAAACCACGTGGGCCCCCAGCTCCAAACTCCTCAAGAAAAACTAATTGTGACAGATTCTGTGTTGCCTTTTAAGGAGATGCAGGGTTCACTGGAGACACTTTTAACCAGCTTGTTAGTTGTTATGCAAGTGTGTATACCTAATGCCACATTACTGAGACATGGTGTAATAGTAAAAGATTGAAAAGGGCTAAATTAGTAAATGGGGTAGATTGTTGGTGTAGAAAGTAGTAAGCATTCAGTGATCGTTGCAGCTGCGGTATCGGATTTCCTGCTGCACACCATCCCAACGTTTAGACTTCTCAGTGTGAACATGTCCAGTAGAATCATTCACAAGCTGATCGCATGATAGCAACTCGAGGCCCACAGATTCCCTAATCCTTGAGATCACGAGCAAACCCTTTTCTGTAATAGCCTGGGATTGATTTCAGCATGGCATTAAGATTAACATTTTAAAATTCTGGCCCCAAGAGCCCACCGGCCCTATCACGCTCACCGTGGGTGATGATGATCTATTATTCTCTGTAATGAAAGAGTTGACCTTCAGTTATCTTGAAGAGCCTGAAGGCCCTGTAGAGGAGAGCATCAAAATCAGAATTTGGTCCCAACGTTTGCCATCTTTTCAGAAATTGAAAAGACGTCTTTTTCCTTTCGTCAAAACTCTTTGGTGTCTCTCTAATAAACAGGTACCATTGCCAAAATGTGCACTCTCTTGTGTGTGACAGGTGAAAAGGTTGATGTGTGTTTTGACCCCCTGGGTTGATTTTAGCTGTGATAGCATGACACCCGCCATACATCGTGTCGGTATGAATACCAAACTGCCTTCAGGCTTTCTGCTGCGAGTGTTGATAATAATAATAATGTAACAGCTCATTCACAATAATGAAATTCCCTGTCGGAAAGGCTGTCAGTCGGGGTCAGGTGCAGATCAACCTTCGTATCAGCTGGAAGGGATTATATGCTTTTCTGGATGGGAGCTGCTTGAAACAGAAGTTCTTGTCGTGGGTTTAAGGATAGTGTCTCTAAAGATGGTTTTGCCTTTTCCAACATGTGATGTGTTTCACGCAAACATAATGTACTTCCCCTCTCTCTCTCTCTGGCTCATGTAGATCTTCGTTTTTGAGAACAACATCTATTATCGCTCCAGGGTTGACAACCGCTCCATTCGTCTGGTGTCGACTGGCAAGGAGGGCGTCATCTTCAATGGGCTCAGTGATTGGCTGTATGAAGGTAAGGCTGAACACATTGTTGCTGTCGAACACGTTGAACTACTCCTTTAAAGTTATCTTTACAACATGGGGACTTACCCCCAGAGGCACGGCAGTAGTTTTGCAAGATTTCCAGACAGGACATGTGGGAACAGTGAGCATTACTCTGTCAACCCGCTGCTCTAAATCTCTCACATAACCCCACGAAAATCTGCAAATTGTCATTTATTCATGTTGGGTTTTGTACGGGTGTTAAATAGTACGTTTTAGTGTTGTTGTTGAGCGGATTGTTTCAACCTTTGACAGAGCCAAAGTAGCTGTTTCCAGTCTTCATGCTAAGCTAAGCCAACCACTGCTGGCTAGAGCCTTATATTAAACCAACGGACATGAGAGTCGTATCAAGCCAGCGGTTCCCAAACTCATAGTAAGGGGTCACAAGATAAACCAAAGGGGTCGCTACATGATTTACAGGATAGGAAAGAAGACAAAACATGCTTAACTTCACAACACAATCATACATGCACCATGTGATGAGGGATCGCATGCAGACATCAAAGTCTCATCAAAGGTAAAGAGATTCAGAAGCACTGACGTACGTCACGATGACCAATAAGGAAAATAAGTAAAGTGAACCTCTCTCCTCCCTCTATACCATTACTTCAATGTGAACACTCTTACCATGTATTAGCGAGTAATGACATGAGACGGTCCGATCCCCAGGGGCTGCATCTTCATTAGTATTTTTGCCGAGTTGCATTTGGTTTCTTGCAGGTAAATTAAAAGAGGAAACCCTGTCAATGCTTTACACAGCCCTGAAAATGAATGAATGTTCTACATCGGTTGATTTGCATTTACTCAGCGCTGGCGCGTATGTTGTACACACTCTGATTCAGATGTCACGGTGCTCTGAGAGCATCGCCGCCGCCGATCAAAGCTCACCTGTGTGCCTCGCAGTCAACAAAAACAAAAACCGGGACGGCTGCCATGTTAGCGCTCAACTAATGAATTTATATCCGCTGCGCTGGGTGCACTCTCTGCTCCAGTGGAACTGCATTTTAATAACAGAGCGAGGGGGAGATGGGGAGCGGCAAGCACATAGATGGAGAGATAGCAGAACTAGAGACAGCCCACGACATACAGCGAGATGTTACTCCTCGAGTGACACTATAAAACCATACATATCTGTTTGATGATGTGAGTGGCTGCCACATCTCAGGTTATCTGAGGTCCCCAACGCACCAGGACGAGAGCTGTGTGTCTGTTTCCCTCTCCGCGACTGGATTGTTTTAATTTAATTTTGTCGACCCACGGATCCTCTTATCTCCGCATTAGCCGGGCTGACATTTGAAACCACGTCCATCCTTCAAGAGCAATATACAATCCCAGGCATTTAAACATTAATCAGAGTGTTATTACAGTGTCTAACCCCCCCTGACACGTATTTGTGCGCTGCTGAAGGCCTGGTAATTTACACTCATCATTATTCCGGTATAAATCTTTCACCGAGAGATAAAACACAGAACCAGCTTCATAATGTTTTGTTCCTTCCTGCACATGACTTTCCAAATAGATAGTGTGATGTGATGGCATGTTGACATTCTTCCAGTCCGTTTCATTATCTTGAGATGTCATATTGTAAAATATTTGGTGCTTATCTTTACTATATTCGTTTGCCTGTTATCATGTAATATTTCATTATTCAATTAAATGCAATACATCCCAAAATAGCAGGCTTAAACCAATTGTTAGTATTCAAGATCATAATGTTCAGATTATGTTGAAAGTGTTTTAGAGAGGTGTTGATTCAACGTCATGGTGATGTTGGAGGCTGTAGTCTGTGATGCGATTGACTTGTAAAGGGTTCTACTTACTACTAAAGTAGGCGTAAGAGATATTGAGATACACTACACGGCCAAATACATGTGGACATTCTTGTTGTCTGGGGATGTTCTCCATGGTGTCTAGATTTTATACTGTTTCCTGTCTCGACATATGACAATTTTTGGTAATATGCTAAAAGTCCCTATAATTTCTATTATTGATGAATCCCTTTTTGTCTTATAAATGTCCGTAAGCCTGTAAATAGATTTGGCTTTGGTCCAGTGGTGATGCCAGCATCTGCAGGGGAGCTTAGAAGTGGCGCCAGGCTGTGTGATGTTTACATTCATCAGTGGGACTGCGGGGCAGAGTATTTTCCATGCTAATGACCGAGGCTCTGCTCTGACCAAGGTCAAGATGAGGCTCAGACTGCCGCAGAGGGGAAATGAGGTCTTAAGCTCTGGCTGTCGCTGCGCGGGCAGATTTGGTGTTGAGGGGGGTGAAAGGTTGGCAAATAATCTCCCAGGCTTGAATATCCGCCGGCTTGCATTGCTGTCTTAATCCACGAATGTGTGTGCGTGTTTGTAGTGTGCATGCAGGAGAGACGCAAAGAGACGTGAGAAGAGAAGAAAATTGAATTAAACAGACACAGCCGAGACCCCCGTCGGCTGTGTGTAATAGTCCAAAACGCCTCAGGAGAGTCTCAAGTGTTCCGTCATCTGTCAGCTGTGTGATTATCGAGGCTGCACTGATACTGACGCATCCTGCAGTGTGACGCGGCCCGAGGAAACAGCTGTTCATTGGGCTCTGGTGCGCCGAGATAAAAAGCTGGCGTCGCTTTGATTTGAGTCATGTTTGCCCCCATAGATGTTTGGCTAGATGACTGTTTGCATCGTGAGGCTTGTTCGCAGGGTTGTGTCTGTTTATCGCTCTGTTTGTGGCTGGGCCTGCGGGGCCCGGAGTAACCATATAATCAACACTCGTGCGCTGGAAAGGAACAGATTACTAAAAATGTTGTTTTTGGTTTGTTTGTGAAAACAAGCTGAAAACTGATGTGAGACACACAGTTGGAAATAGTTTTGTTGAACTTTTTAAGTGACATTGCCGCCAGAATGTGACAAAAATCTGAATTGGGAAAGTCCGTGTCTTCTCAGCATGAAATAAATGTAATAGATTTTGTTAGATAGACACCAGTAGATACCAATATCTATTTCTATGATATTGTCGTTGTAGGATACTGATTTAGAGTTGCTCGTAAACTAAATTGTCCTGACGTAACTCGAGTGTGCTTGATAGCTTAATCAACATTGTAGATAACACCTTTAGGGCTTGCATTTTGAATTGTCTGTAGAAATCATGCAGCAAAAATGTGTGCATGATATAAATAAATGTGTTTTATTGCCCAATGTGCTATAAAACGAAAACCTTTTGAAATATAACCATGGAAATGTCCCTCCAGAGCCACATTACTGCTTTCAAAGGGGGAAATAGGACTCCTTATGACAAGTAAACATCATTCTATGTTTAAAATTGATGGAGCACTAGACAGGCTTAGCATCAGAGAGGGCGACCAAAAGTCTGTGCTACCATTGCAGGATAAATGTATCCACAGGGGCTATATCCTCCAATGCTTCTCTTCCCTCCTCTAGTTTAAAGCTTAAAGGGTAACGGCAGTATTTTTCAACCTGGACTCATGGTTCACGTGTTTTTGTGTATCTCAAAGACCAACATGGACAGCAGCTGCTGAAATTGGTCCAGTATTGAGGGAGAAAGCTGCTGATTGTAGCCGCCAAACGACTAACATGTAATGGCTCGGGTCAACTACTCACCGCCAACGTGTGTCCACTAAAGGTGCTTTTTGTGTCTGGCAACATTATGGAAAGGACCTCATAGAGACATATCATGATCGTCTACCACTGTTATCTTTAGGTGGAGCCACGAAGTGCCGCCTCTGGAGATGCTCAGCTAAACCTCACATTCATGTCTTGTGCTTTTCTATTCTTGCTCAATTATCACTTGCACCGTCAGCGCAGTGGTAACAGTATTCATAGTAACAGCTGTTTCACCGACATGTTCTCAGCATCTTGGGTGGAAATGTCATCGAACCAACCTGCTTCGTCAGTGAGTCGGGAGGACGGTGTCCCTGCTGTCACATTTCAACTTAAAAAGGATTTTGCCATGCCGTGTAGATTTAGTTTGTTTTACTATGACAATTAAATAATACAACGGTTCCCAATCAGTTAGCGAGGATTTAGTTTTGTTTTGAGGTGGAGGTGACGGTCGGATTGATGCAATTGTTACCTCTGGTTATTGGGGGTGGACTGCAGGCTGTGAGTATTCAGAACACAAGAGGGAAGTAGTCAGACACTAAAAAGCTGCGTTTCTCTCTGTGATTTAGTGCTGCTCTACTTTATGACTGTGGGATGTGACACTGCTGCCCTCTGTTGGAGACATATGCCAATAATTCATACAAGAACAGTCGACTTGATCATTTTGTCCACACTATTCTGTTTCAATACTACCATATGGCTCGTGTAATAGGCACATATTTTTTTTTGTATTTCTTTTAATTGCAAGAAATGAACCAAATGCCACGACCAAGGTTTGATTTTCTTCTCTTTCTCTCATTAGTTCACTCTGCCCGTATCTGCACTCATCATTTCTCCTTCGCCACTTGACTCTCATGCATTAATAATGCCCTTTATTCAGTGAATAATGTAGTCTGCGCAGCAGGATGGAGGACATGGAGAGGGGAGATGAGCCCCTGACAGCTCACCTTGGTAATCATCACTGGAGAAAGAAAGAGACGCCATTTCATCGCTCAAGAGAAAGGAAGTGAGAGCTGGCTCATCAGAAGTAGTTCACTTACACTCCCTTACTTTCTCTCCCTTTTGTCCCTTCACTTTCCTTTGTTATTGCGCACATATTAGGATACCTTTAGAAAGCGAACTACTTTCTCCTTGGCTAGTCAAGGTGACTGGGCGTCCCCCAGCAGAGCGGATCCGACAGCCCCGGCGGTTTCACTCCACGTGGAAAGCTTTTTAAGCTGCTGCTGGTGAAATCAGCAGGCAGCAGCAGAACTAGACATGCGGGAAATCTTTTTTTTTTTTTTTACCATTTGCAAATGCAGCATAATGCTGTCCTGTGCTGCCCTGTTCATCATCAGACAGTGTGATCCAATTATTCCCCACTGAGCCCTGCCAGCAGGGTGCAGGTGGACGCAACAGGCAGGCAGGAAGTGCAAAGACTAACTGGACTAAATGCAACCATTGAGCCCATTTCTTCTCATGTCACTGGCACAGAGATGTGTAGCATTGTAATTTAGCAGTGACAAGATGCTACGGGCGCAATTACTTCTGCAGGATTGCATGAGAGAACAAATGTACACAAGCGTCTGTGCTGAGGGTGTTTGTCAAATGACGCTGCATATCAAGTGATTCCACCAAGCGTGCACAGTTAATGAAAATGCTAATTGGTAGTTGATGTCTGTTAATTCCCCGAAGCGAGCGCCCAGTCCCACAGATAAACAACATTAATGAAATTTTAATTGCAAAAGTTGCTATAAATGTAGCTGGTGGCACACTGTAGCAATAAGTGGAACTGTCTCAGTGCCGTGTGCGCCGTCGCCACAGACTTAATAATGAAGTAGGATGGAGACGGCCGTGTACCATGTTGTCAGAAAAAGTTCCCTCCGTGAGCTTTTATTTGCATAATTTCTTAATAACTCACTGTGTGTTGACAGAGGACTTTGTGTGTGTGTGTGTGTGTGTGTGTGTGTGTGTGTGTGTGTGTGTGTGTGTGTGTGTGTGTGTGTGTGTGTGTGTGTGTGTGTGTGTGTGTGTGTGTGTGTGTGTGTGTGTGTGTGTGTGTGTATGTGTGTGTGTGTGTGTGTGTGTGTGTTTGTAGCTGAAGAGATGGAGGACGTGGACTGCTTTTTCCCCCATTATTTTCTCTGCCTGTTGAACATGAGTGTGTGCGATTGCAACACGATTTTAAATACACACACCTGCACACAGAGGGTCTCAGGGGAACTCTCTCGGTAGTAAGTCTGAAATGAGTTAACGTGAGTTTGTTGCTGAAAATGTACACACACACACACACACACACACACACACACACACACACAGTGGTAGGGGCAACCCAACAACTAAAGTTACACGGTGAACTACACGGTGTAGTTGTACCTGGTGAGAAATTGCTGTTCGGTTCGTTTCTAGGAGATCTGGCCGAGTTCTATTTTGGTCGATCAGCTGTGCTGAGATTAAACGCAGTTGTGATTTATGACCTGAACATTTGGTGCTCTGTGTGTTTTTCTGTGTAGGTTTAAGAGAGAGATACAAAGTGAATGAGTGAATCCAAATATAGCAAACAGGTCAGGCAAGAGTTAGTATACAGTATTGCTGACGGGGCACATTTTCTGCCGCTTTGACCTGTTTTTTTAGAAGTATTATTGTCTTTTTAATGGAGGGAATCATATAAAACTTAACTTGTGTATATTTATGAAATGTTTGTGATGAACTGGCATTATCTTCTGGTACCGGCTACTGTAGGTTTTGTCCTTTTTGACACCGTGATGCTTAAGCTGCATATTTTTTTACTATTGTGAAATCAAAAACTTTACATCCATAAATCACGTATGACCGCCAACATTCATGCAAGACCCATGTACTGAGTTTCTGTGAACAGAGAACAACACACTACAAAGATTAATACTAACGATGCAGCATAACACCTCTTAATACCTAACCATGATAAGCAACAGCAGTATGATTATGTCTCTGCTGTGTGAGTTTTTATTCAATTTTTTATTCACTGTCATTATGATTATGATCAATTTGTTCTCACTCTTCCAGAGGAGATCTTCCAGTCCCACGTTGCCCATTGGTGGTCTCCAGATGGTGCCAGGTTAGCGTACGCCACCATCAATGACACCCTGGTGCCCAGAATGGAGCTGCCCATGTTTACGGGCTCACCGTACCCAATGGGGAAAGAGTACCACTACCCGAAGGTGCACAGTTTAATTGGATTATTGGACATTTTCTTTGGATTCTAGAAGTCGTATCATTTACATCGTCTTCTCGTTCCTCGTCCCGTTCAGGCCGGTGAGGAGAACCCAGTCATCACTCTGTATGTTGTGAACCTTAACGGCCCTCTTCACACCATCGAGATGAGGAGACCCGACGATCCCAGGATGGGGTGAGGCATGCAAGCTGTCGACCAATCAATCGCTCCAATCAGTCAAATTATGCAAATCTTACACCTCATGCATTTATTTTGTGAATTTAAATATCTAATTCATATTCATATGTTCTCTCGTGTGTGTAATATCTGTCAATGTATTCATTTTCTGAAGTTACATCTTTTAATTTACTTTGTGTACTGCAAAGATTTCTCCAGCGATGCATTTTTACTTAATGTGATCCCAAGTTTAGTTCCATTACGTTTAATGTCCCCATTCGCTCTGTTCATATTCATACCCAGTCTTTAATTCCTCCTTCGCTGTGGCTCATTATATCATTAATGTTTCATCCCATTTTATGATTCTATCATAATATGCTTTCAGTAAATGGAAACTTTTTCCAACATTTTTGTCCTTTACTCTCTGACGATGCTGATTCGCAGACCTTGTAGTGTAAACGGAGTAATTAGTGTTTAATAATGTCCTTGTGTTTGTCAGTGAGTATTACGTGACCATGGTGAAATGGGCCACCACCACCAAACTGGCCATCAACTGGCTGAACAGAGCCCAGAACATCTCTATACTCACACTGTGTGAGGCCACAACGGGGGTCTGCACAAAGGTGTGTGTGTGTGTGTTACGTGTACTGTATGTCTCAAAGGCATTCTGGGATGTTGTATTACTTTTACTCAACTCTGTCAACCTGCTTCTACAGAAACATGAGGATGAAAGTGAAGGATGGCTGCACAGACAGGTAGTTAAAAATGTCACCCTATTCACCTGTAGGGTCTACCCATGTAAGCTGTAATGGGGGGGGACTTCTTTTCTATAATTATTGCATTTACCAACCCTTTTTTTGAGGTGCTATTTCTATGTTTTGTTGAGTAAAACATTAAAATAATCTTCACCGTGTCTTCAGAATGAGAAGCCTCTGTTTTCCAAAGATGGGCTGAAGCTGTTCTTCACCCGTGCCATTCCACAAGGAGGCAGGGGCAAGTTCTTCCACATCTCCATGTCCATCTCCCAAGTAAGACAATACTTATGTGTGCAGTAATGTTTAGAGTTAGTAAACATCTATCACATGTTTACCATTCAGTGTTTTTAGTATCATTCAAAAGTGTGTGTTATGAGCTTTAAGGGGTATGAGTAAACTTTATACTTGGTGAGACAAACATACTGTAGCTCTGTTGTCTGTGTTGTTTTATTCAGTAGGCTATAAAATCAGCATCTTTATTGTCTTGGTTCTTTTACTTCCTCTGTTTATCTCCAAAGCCCAACACCAGTACTGACACACTGCAGTCCATCACATCTGGAGACTGGGATGTCACCCAAGTCCTGGCCTACAATGAGGACAGCCAATTGATGTGAGCACCCACAAACCCGCCAGCAGCAGCCAGACAAACCACCACACGCTCACAGCGAGAAGCAACAGTACATCATAATTCTGCAGTAATTTATGTCGGTACACGTTGTTTAATTATAAGCAAACAAAAGTCGCATGGTTGGAAGCGGTACATTTGTCAAGCTTGTCATTCTGCTAGAGATTTGGCCCGCAGGTGCATTCAAAGTAAACTTGTTCTACTCTCTTTAATGTTTACTACTTTATTTTAATGAGGAAATGTGAGAAAATAGCTGACATGAGCAGAACGCTTAGGTCGAACAATAAAGAAATATGTTTTTTGATCTTGTTTTAGTGTTAATTATGTCTAATATGTGTTGGTCATTCTAAAATATAAGGTTGAACAAAATACCATTGAACTAAAGGTTATAAGAACAACTTAGAACTTTGATGTACATGTTTTTACTGCCTCAGAGAAACTCGCTTGTTTTTGCCGAGAGCTAAGGAGTTAAATATTTCAGCACCACGGACAGAGACAGAGAGAGTGTTGCTGTCCAACAGGCAAATGGCCCTTTTTATTGTCAAGATCGTGGTCGTTTTTAAAGCACCGATGCTGCATTTGGAGACAGCAACTAAACTTATCGTCTGTTGCGGAGAGCGTTGTGTTCTTCTACCAGCTCGTACGGTTCCACACGATAAACCGCTTCAAATAGGCTCGGTGTAAAAAAACGCCCCGCTGTGACTCATCCCCGTCGCTCCCGGATAACGTCACACCCACACTCTGGGGCCACAAGGCAACTGTGATCCGACAAACATGATCTCGCATGTACACACTTGCATTTCGCGCACACAAACAGAAACACAGTTACTCATTCACAGTGTTTGAAGTGACTTGAGTAACTCTCCTAAAAACCTCTTTCCCAAGGGGGGCAAGATTTGGCCTACTTCTCCTCTAAAAAAGATTCATCCCCCCTTTTCCCCCCCATCATTCTTTTATGAAACAACTATTCTAGTGAGTATTTGGGGCATCGCTTGTGTGTTCCTCGTGGGTATCTTTTAACACGATTTAGCTAAACTCTGCTACCATGACATTCTTTTTTTCTCTATGAATGTAGATACTTTTTGAGCACTGAGGACGGTCCAAAGCGAAGACATTTGTACAGGTAACGGCTGTTCTCTGTATTATGTTTTCTGTAATGGCAGTTGTTGTTTTGATTAATTACATTTTGCTCATTTGGATAAAAAACAAAGAAATGTTTAAAAAGTGAAATGACCTCTTCTTTGTTGCTGTAGCGCGGACACCTTTGGTTCCTTCAACCGCCGCTGTCTGTCCTGCGCGTTGTCCGACAGCTGTGACTACATCAGCGGCTCCTTCAGTCACAACATGAGCTATTTCCTGCTCAACTGCCAAGGTAGCTGACACAGGATCTTCTAACTAAACTCTATCCATCCCTCTGTCTTCCCCCTCAACTCTCGGCCCAACTTACCCATTTTAAGGCAACAATGAGGTTGTGACAAAAAAGAAATGGCCCACAAAGAGTCCACTCGTCCAATTTGGCTTCGTCGAAGGAGGAAATGATATTAGCCAAAGTTATGAACAAAATGTCAAAGTCATTTTGCAGCGCTGGCTTTGCCGTTTTTTAAATTCGAGGCTGCCGATGTAACGCTGCAGTTCTTCCTACTGTCAGACGGCTGTAGGGATTTGATAAGCTGAAGGGGAAGACTCATAGTGTACAGGTGAGGATGTTAGATAACGGTCTTAAGCACAATAAAGACAGGCTTACTGACACTTCTATTGTTGCTGTACATTTGTATTTTTATTGTAAGTCTAAATATGTTTAATGCAGTTGTGGAATGAGTATTAACGTATCGTTTATTTAAGCAAGAGTAGCAAGTGAAAGTCTTTCTTTCAAAAGTATGAACACAAAGTGTACTTTTATGTTCAAAGGAAAAGTTAGTTTATTATTGCTACATTAACATGCATATGTTTGAGTTGTTTTAAATGCTTCATTCACTGTTGGGTAGTTTAATCTACAACAATGTGTCATGTTTTATAAATTGATAAATAATAGCTTTAGCTGGTAAATGAAATAAAAGCACATTTCCCTCTGAAATGCAGTGGAGTAGAAGTATAAGGTAGCATAAAATGGAAATACTCAAGTAAAGTACATGTACAGTATGTTACAATTGTACTTCTGTACTTGTATTTTTTTACAAATGTACTTGGTTACTAGTACTATTCAGCATTATCCTATATTTGAGTCTATATTTTCTCCATATTTCTGTATCTTGACGATAAAAAACGTTTCGTGGAAAATAAGAGCCAATCTTTGTGTGTCTATTCTCTAGTTTGTGCACAAAGAACTTCCCTCTTGCTGTGCCACTCCTTACAACCTTGATCTGTATATGCCATGCTGGCCATGACAATAGCAAAAGAACAGGCAAAGAGCTTTTTAAGATCAGAAAGTCGTCACACTGCTGTAGAAACAAAGCAATTCATGTTTCTTTGATTTCAGTCTGACTCAAAGCTTCAATATTTAATCACTGATCCAACAACTTTTGTGTCAGTCACCTCTGAACCGTAGAAAGTGATCGCCACTGAAGTGAGATCAAACAGGGAAAGGACCACAATGCCATCAAACACTCCCTGCACACCCCATAAGTCACTGATAGCCGATTGTCCTGCATCTCATACATTTATAATCCACCCCTCTCCTCACAGCCTGCCTCCAAGAATTGATGTGATGAAGGCTATGATATGATTACCACGAGGAGAGAGAGTGGGAGGACGAAACAAAGGGATGTGAGCGGTCAGCCGCTGCGCTTTCCACCAGACGCAACCACAATGTTCCTGCACTGTGTTCCCAATTTTCTAAGTGCATCAATCACTTCATTTGCTGTCCCTACTCCCTCCAATTTGAGGTCGTACGGCTTTAGCATGAAGAACTTTTCCCCTGTTGGTGGCCTAGTTATGGAAAAGCTACTTGAGCCACTGCATTACATAAATCAAATGAGGACAGATTTGCCTCTTTTACTGACGGACAAAAGATCTGGGATGTCTCTCTGGCTTTTACTGCAGTCACTGGAGCAGACTTATTTTATTGACGATGAACACGGACTTTGCTCTTGCCACAAACAACATCTTAATGCAGCATTGTACCTGTAACGTCTTTGAAACGATGATGAAACTTTCTGATTTCCTCCTCAGGACGGGACATCCCATTCGTAGCCGTCTACAAGACACAGAGAGACGTGGAGAGTGAGACGCAAGACAGGGAGAGTGAGTATTTACGCTGAGTGAATCATTTACTGTGGACTGTGGATTATGCTAAAGACATCGCGAGTGACCCTGTACGCAGTAGCATTAACAGCTACATTGAAAATGACCTTGTCGAAAAGTGTTTTTCCGTTGCAGTGCAGAATGACCACCTGTGCGCTGCTGGTCTACAAGCCGAGTTCAGCGTGATGGCAGTAATCACATTACTCCCCGCGATGGATGTCCTCATTAAATTATGACCTGCCCAACGTCAATATCAGCATACTTTAATTTGATTACTACGGGGCGCATGTGTGTGTCAGTCTGTGTTTTATCAATATGATGTCCCTGCCCTGATTATGTTAAAAGACCTCTTGATGTTATTACCGTAGATTATTTCATGGTGTCAGCTGTTAAACGGTGCTTTTGTAAGAGCAGTAAGGCTTTTCTTCGCTGCCGGATCTAAAATTGTATTGACAGTTAGATGATTGACGCTCATTAAGTGTCGCATAGCAATGCAATCAGGATACCATGATTATTAACAAGGCCAAGAGTCTACAGCCATGTTGGCAGCTCTGGTAGTCTGTTAGTGATGGGAATTACTGTTCTTTGAAAAGAGACAGATCTTATGGTTCCTTTCCGTTTGATAGCACTTTTCAGTCAACGCTGACTTTTGGTTTCACACAGGACTCGAACTGTGGTCTCCTGGGTGTAAGTCCTGTGTTTGTTTCTCTGCATACATACAGAAACACACTGGTTTGGCTTCAGTCAATATTTCAGACGGAGCTCTTTTTCTTCTTCTGCTGCCTCTCAGAAGGTTTAATTGAAGTTCCATCATCCTGTCAGTTTGTCAGTACAGGCAGCCGTGTGTGGATTCCCGTCCTGGATGCTGCCTTTGGACCATTTACACCAATCCTAAAATACAATGTTCGCTGCATGCCCTTTGACTCCAGCAGTCATGGCAAGCGAGGGTGATACGTTAGTGGTGCATAAACCAGCTGTAGCTGTTGGATAAGTACAGCTGGTTCCCTCTTCAGGACAACCTTTTGACGCATGGAGTTTGCCATGAGCGAATCCAGGTCACAGTTTCAGCTGCAGTCGTGCCGTCTATTTCTTCTCTGGTTTTGTGTTTTTTTGGAGTTCATGCTAAACGTTTTGGAGGACAAGAGGCTCTGATGGATTTGCTTTCTCGTATGAATATCAATGCACAGCTCCAATCATTATTCTACACCATCAAAAATGAATAATTTATGGGAAACCCATTAACTATAGAAACTGCTTATAGGTGGTCCTTGGTATATATATATATATATATATATGGAAACACAGTCATGCTAATAATGAAAGTGATTTTTATTTAACTACAAGCTGATTAAATTTTAGTTAAAATTTTCTGACGTGAGTGTATTTTAACATAACTTGTTTGTTAGTTTTCAGAACTCTGACTTGGACTTGAAGCTCCGGCCAAACATGTCCAAACATAGATAGAGTAAACTTTGTTAACTGCAGTCTCATTGGTTATTCGTGTGCTGTCCACAGGCATCGCAGAAGTGCATAAACTGGAGAGCAATGAGAACCTGAGGCTGATCCTGGACTCCATGCAGATGCCCACCGTGGAGTACAAGGAGATCAACAAGGATGACTACAGTATGTATCATGTGTCAGAGTCACATTGATGGACAGGTTATGTGTATACAATAATATATACCTTATGTATATAAGGTTCAAAATATATGTTAGAGTTTCTCAATGAAAGGGGGCTCGTTGAATTGATTGTGTAGATTACTGTGTTGCGTTTCGGATCAAACTTATTTGTATCTGCATCACAGCCTTGTCAATGCAGATCCTCAAACCCGCCGGCTTCGTGGACACAGCACACTACCCGCTGCTCCTGCTCGTGTAAGTATGAGCACATGTTTTCACACACATTTCTATACAGTACATTTGGTGCACACACACCTCTGCAGAGAAAAAGTGTGTTTCCATTTGCAGTGCAGACTCGTCAGTGGAGACTTCCTGGAGTTTTAATCCGGCATATTCATTTTAATAATCACTGCATTGTCCTCTACTCGAGCTGGATAATAACTACACTGTGAATGAGGAAACTTACCCCCCCCCCCTTACTTCCATTTGCGTTTCTTTCCTCGGGCCTTTACCCGTCAAATCTAAGATTTTCAAGAATTTGGCCCTTTGTGCTCTGCCTGCCTCTCAATTGTCGCTCAACTTAAGCACCAACGCATCTCGAATAATCAGATAATAAGCAGAGGGTATCTGCAATATTAACAACTATTAAAAGATACCACATTTCACCTTTTTGGAACAAGTTATGTCTGCTGCAAGTTCGGCTTTCTTTCATCCTCTCACTGTCACTTTGTACTGCTGATGTTGCAGTTCTTTCCCTGCACAATAGAGCTCACTGCCAGCTACCCACAGTAAATAGTACTGACCCCAAAAATATGAAATATGATTGAAAAGCATCTTTCAGACAAATGCTGTGTACCCACAGGGTCCCAAACTGACACAAGCTCATACATTCTATGCAACGTTTGTGTTGATAATGTGATATAATTGGAGGAAATCATTGCTTTGCATCGAGCAGTCTTGACTTCACTGATCTGTTTGCCTGTGTTTGTTTGTGTGTGCAGCGATGGGACACCTGGTGGTCAGATGGTGGCAGAGCAGTTCCACATGGACTGGGCCACAGTGCTGGTGAGCAGCTTCGGCGCTATCGTGGTGCGCTGTGACGGACGAGGCAGCGGCTTCCAGGGTACCAACCTGCTGCACCGGATCCAGAAGAAACTGGGGGTGTACGAGGAAGAGGATCAGAGGGAAGCACTCAAGTATGTCATATTTTCAAAGTGTCTCATTAGAGATTTAACAGACATCAGAGTCAAATGCAATAAATAGCTACTTGGGCGCCAGAATTCACTATTATGTGACAGTTAAACGATGCTTTCCAACACCACTGACATGCACCGACATTACACTATTCCCTACGGCTTATGAAACAGTATCTGTGTGTTACATGAAGCCACATCGATTCCCCAAATGGAGTATCTCAATCAGAATGAATTGTTCCATTTGGAGATAAATTAAAATCAGTTTAAAACAAGTTATTCAAACTATAAATTGCTATTCAACAAATCTAAGTATGTCATGCAAATGTTTTTTTTACACTTGTTTTTAAGAATGTATCTCTTTTATTTTTAGCATTTAGATGTTGAAGCAGTAGTTGTTATAGTAGTATTATAATCAAAAGTCCCTTGTAAAGTTGTGAAAACATGTTGTAAGCTACAGTTGCTATGCTGACACAGTGTATACAAAAGTCAAAATTGAAATGTTCTTTCCAACTAGAACCGATTTTTTTTTTTTATCTCTTGCAGTTTTATTTTGAAAGAGTCCTACGTTGACAAAACCAGAGTTGGAGCTTTTGGGAAGGTAAGAACAGTCTCTGTGTGTACCTGGAAGCACCATGCATGTCTTTGTACCAGTAACAGTGGCAGTAAAGTTCAACTTTCTCATTTTACGGCTTCACGGTACATAAAGACATGTTTCTGAAAACATTTGAAGCGAGAAATAGGCAAATACAGTGACAGAATCTTGATTGGTATTTGATCAGCGCTGCCTAGATTAACAGAGCTTCACTAGCAGTGTTAGAGGCTCTGATTGGTTGTTTTCTTTCGGACGCAACGAAATCTTCCAAATGCCATTAGGAGCACTGAGAGGAGGCAGAGAGACCTGATTATCAGTCTCATGTACTGCTGTCTGGATATTGTGACAATTTGAGCAAATGTGACAAAAAGTGTTTTTTATTTATGTTACCAACTGTATAGCTATAATGTGCATGTTGCATTTTACGGCTGTAGATGTTTAAGGTTGTGCTCATTTGAACTACTTGATAAACTGTTTGATAGTTAATATACAGCAAGGCATCGTATTCTATATATTTATAGCTTCCCTGTCCCGTGAGAACACCTTATTTCTAAAAAGTCTTTTTATGAGTTCAGAGGAACAGCCCTGTGTTCAGCTCTGCATTCTACATCTGATCCAAGAGGCTGTCTCAATAGTTCATTCAGCTTAAGAAGTAGGAGGATTTGAACCCCTAAAGAAGCACTTCGTCCTTCAGCTCATCACAAACATTCAAACACAACACATGTGGAGATACCTGGTTTTCACTGGACAGGAAGGGGATGACAAATTGTAATCTGAAAAGTAACTGTGAGACAAATGCACTCGAGTATGAAGCACAATGGCCTCTGCGGTCCAGAGGAATATAAGTATAAAGTGGCAAAATTGAGGAACAAATACCCCAAATGTTGTACTTAAGTACAGTAATTAAATAAATGCACTTAGATACGTTCCACAAGTGGTGATAACGTGCACGTTGGTTGTACCTCAGGTGTATGGAGGCTATGTGACCAGCCTGTTGGTCAGTGGCGTGGAATCCTCTGTGAAGTGTGGCGCTGTTCTCTCACCCATCACCGACTTTGAACTATACGGTAAGCTGTTTGTTTGCAGAGAATCTGAATACTAGCTTTCTAAAAGCTATAGTCTGTGTGTATGTATTGAAAGGGAAAAAGAGATTGCAAATCTATCCCCTTTAGCGCTGCAACTGGGAGTTATTTCCATGACAATTTTATACATGTGTGTACACGTGTGTGGGGAAAAAAAGAGCTTGTTTCGCCTTCTCAGTGTGATGCTGCAAGATACACCTTGAACCCAATCACAACAGTGCCAGACAAAGTTAACTACACCAGCCTCACCTCGGCTACCAAAGGAATGAAATGTGTGAAATGCAGAATTGTGTGTATCGAGAGAGTGACGGAGAAAGAGAGAGACGGTGCTCTTGTGTCGGGCACAGAGTCGGGGAAACTGCAAATTAAGGAGGAGCGTCACGGTGGGAGTGATTTCACATCTATTTGATTTCTCTCGCTTTGCCCGAGGGGGAAGAGACGTGCCATGACACTGTATAAGTTTGGAATTGCAATTGAAGACGTGCTGCAAACGCTTTGATACTAAAGAATATGGAGATGAGTGAATATATTTGAATATGGAGAAAAACCTGGAAACGTGTACTTTTTGTCCTTCAAAATGGCCCGAAGAACAAGACAGAAATGACTCATCAGTCTTGTTATTCATGTGAAGTTTTGATTTGATTTTTTATGTCAAAGCAAAGTATTAATCAAAGCCATATTTCCCTTGTAGCATCTGCGTTTTCAGAAAGATACCTTGGGCTGCCTAAACCTGATCCAAGGGCATACACGGTACGATTTGATTGCAATTGTTATGTTTCAAATTCCAGTTGTGATATTTACTCTAACATCTCTTCCGGTCTAATTTGTTGCTGTGTGTCTCATCACTCCTCAGATGGCAAATTTAGCACACAGAGCATCTCAGTTCATGGATAAGAAGTTCCTTATTATTCATCCAACAGCTGATGGTAGGTCAAGGATGTTCAAAAACATACATCTAGTAATTTTGTTGAAGCAAAGAGATATTTGACATGTCGACGTGTATCTCATTACGTTTTCCCAGAAAAGGTCCATTTCCAACATACAGCGAAATTCATCGCCCAGCTCATCAATGAGAAGGCCAACTATACCTTACAGGTATGTGGATTTTCTTTCACTCCGTTGTAATTACTACTGCTGCTGATCCAATTTCTCTGCCTGGTTCAGTTATTCTCCAACCTCCGGGAGCTCTGTGATCCAGCGGGGATCCACCAGCAGGCAGAGGATTAGCCCTCACAATGCCTTCATTCCACATAATGAGATTATGAGACCTTCTTGGGCCTCTTGCATTAACACCGGGACTAATCCAATTAGGATACAATGTTCTGCTGCAGAGTGTTCATCGGAGCTTATTAGTGACCGAAGGATGGGTTACTGTGCACACATGCTTTAACCTGGTTTCTCTTTGCTTTACTCGGCTTTAGGTCAACCCATGTAGACATGATGACTCAGTTAGAATATCTTAGTTAAACTAATAGAAATCTAGTGTGAGTCCCATACAGTCTCAGTCACCTGTTCTTTGTGTCCCAGATCTACCCAGATGAAGGTCACTTCATTCACAGTGAAGCAACCAGGCAACACCTCAGCCAGTCCCTGGTGAACTTCTTCGAGGAATGCTTCAGGCTACCAGAACGAGTGTTTGAGGAGGCCCTGGAGGAGGAGAGCGAAGAAGAGGGTTAGCTTGGCCCCCTGAGGCTTGTGTGCCCTACATCCTTCCCACCCATACGTTCGCCTTCCTAACCTCCATCCTGTCCCGTGCCCAAGCACAACACTGACATACAGTTGTACAAAATGTGCAACTCTCGTCTGTTCTTGCTCAATTTGCATTTGGACTCCCCGTGTCGGCATGCTGAACCTGAGACTGGCTTTGCAGCAGACGACGGATCTAGTCCTACATCCATCTTTCACACCTTCTGCCCAGAGTTCAAATCCAACAGCCCTCCAGAGAGCCAACAAAGACTGGTGACCTGACGTGATGTTGTGGAGTATTCTGATTGATTTAACAGGGAGCAGTCTCCTTCACAGCCAGATGGACCAGCTCCTTAAAAAGCAGAGACAAAGCATCAGCTTTCACACAAACTTCCAAGCTGTGAGGAGAAGGAACACCTTATAACACATAACTCATGGGCTTGTATATCAATGAAAATCAGACGCCTGGTGAAGAACACTGGTCGACAGTGTTCGCGATGGTTGTCTGAAATTGTGCCGATACAGGAAATGTTACTATTTTTAAAGTTGTGAAGAACCTTCATGTTGGACTGTGGTTGTGTCTATTGTTCTTACAGTATGTAAAATAGCACACAAACATTCACTCGGCAATTATGGACATATTTTCTTTTGGTATTCATGTTTTTTCCCGATGTTCATCTCGTAGCCTACATTTCTGTATATCAGCGATGCTCACAGAATTCACTTACTTAGACTAAATGCGCCATGGGTTCCTTAATGATCATTCGAGACAGTTTTATTGTGACGTTCCAGTTTTATCAAATGTTTGTCAAAGAACAAAAGCATTAACTTGTTTTAGTCACTGTGCCTTACTTTGTCAGAAAAAATCCTGCAGCTGCTAACAAACGAGGCCAATTTTGTAGGAATTGTTTGATTTTGGGAAATAAACTTAATAGCTTAGCTTCTTATTGAGAAATTTGGTTCCACTCTCATATTGGGTCATTAAATATGAAGCTAGCTTAGCCTAGCATAAAGACTGGAAGCAAGGGGAAACAGCTAGCCTGGCTCTGTCCACTAGCCAGGGTAGTTGCTTCCCCCGCTACTAGTTTTTATGTTCAATGTTTTTATCAAAGCCGAAGCAAGAAAGCAAATAAGCATAATTCCCAAAATAGCAGCTGTTATAAATATATAGCTTGAAAAAGATTATTATTTTGAAAAAAGTAGCTTTGCTACTTTCAACAGCTAATACTTGATTGGGAAGCTGTAGGGAGTTTGAGGTTTCATAGAACAATATCCTGGAAATATGCCCAACGATGACTACGCTAAAATGTACAGAATCTGCATGCATCATGTTTAAGGTGAAGAAAGTAGGTGAAGAAAACGCTGTGTCATTTAAATCAGCAAATACATTATTCAAAGTTGAAGGCAAGAAGCTATTAGGATTAGTGTTACACCCTGCAAAATTATGCACTTGTATATAAGGGGGAAACATTTTTAAATGAAGTAATGCAAACATGGCATACGAAATAATGAATTCTTGAGGCACATGTGTCATTTTATTTTTTATTATTTGAATGACCATTTGTATTACGTTTCAGTGCATGTTAAGAGGTTATTTGCAGCACTATCCCTGATAGCTCAGCTCCACGTGGTCATTTTGACATCTTGAATGTTCCTTACTGGATTGCATAAATTACATTTCCAGTAGTATTGTGATTGAGATCCCAGTCTCGTCAGCTTGATGTGTAAATGTTATTCAGATATCATTTTATTCTAAATAGAAAAAAGAAACAATATGTGTCGAGTGTTATTTGTGCATAAAGCATTTTGGAAGTTACATTTGACTCTTCATTTCTGTTCACCTGTTGCTTTCCTAGATTTTAGAATTTAACGAAGGTTACAATGTTGTAACCCTGTAACACAGGCGGAGCCCTCTACTGGACTATGTGGGTAATACTCTTCTCCAATCATTCTCCCACTGAAAATGTGCATGAGCGTAGGCACATCCTGATTGCAGGAGAGTATTACCCATAGAGTCCAGTAGGGGGCGGATCCTGTGCGAGTTAGAAGTGCCCCTTTATGAATGCAAATGACATCGACTTTTCTTGCAGTGGTTAAGAACTTTTTCAAGATATAACATGCACTAAAAGCAAGCGCTGCCGGCCCGGCTATGTCAACAAAGCAAGGAGAAGCTTGCTAACAACACAAACGGAGGAAGAGCGACTTCATTCTCTGCTCAGATCCACTATATATTTACCAAATAGTTGTTTGCTGCTATATTATTGCTTTGAATGTCATACATTGTTCCTTCAAGAAATTATATATTTTTTTCAATTGGTAACTGTAATCAGCTGTTGGAAAAGGAAAAGGTACTCTGCAAACAAACATCAGAAATAATAGATTTGTTCAAAGACCCTATCGGGCGCAGCGTAAACAGGATTGTAGTTGTATATCAGCGCTTTGCTCTCCTCCTCCTCGGATCCAAATCTGTGAAAGTTCTTCCTGGCTGTAAGGAGAGAAAATAAGATTTACGAATCACAAAGGCTCCATCGTGCAGCTAGTGACTATTTAATTCAAGGAACAACAAAAATGGCTGTGTTCATACCTTCACTGACAAAGAATTCAGCCATGTAGAAGGTGGTCTTTACTGCTGATGGAGAGTGTGGAATGTAAGGCTTCCCCCATTCGAATGCGTTTTTCTCCGGATGCCACTGCGTCCCATAAATTGGGTAATCATATGCTGCCGAGAGGTAAGGGAAGAGATAGTACTGATAAACATAAAAGTTACTTCCAGTGCTATATTGCTGTAAACCTGTGACGCTGCATTGGAACTACCTTCCACCGTTGACACAAACTCTGTTGTTCCATCTGTGTTTGTGGAGAGAACTTTGTAAAAGCTGTTCAGCTCCTCGTTTGTGTTATGAGTCTGAAAGAGACGATGCACCCGATCAAACGACACTATTTTCTATGATCTTAGATCATGTTTTGGCACTCTTTATGTTTTCTCATCATAATAGTAATGACGTACCAACAGTGACAAACTCCACCTGTGAAAGTTTGCTGTCAGCGGCTCAGAAGCCAGATCTGCAATGAGCTCGTCTGGGAAGCCTTTAAATATCCTGCTGTCTTTGGCTCCTGGAAATGGGTCATAACAATATCATTAATAACAAAGCTGGGGTTTTTTCAAAGAAATTATACAAAATTATATAATCAACACTACACTCCCATACTATTAATGAAGTTCAGAGGTAACGGCACATCACTTGTGTTGGTAAGTGACAGTAAGTTCTTTCCACTCGTCAAAACGGTCAGCTGCTCGTATCCAAGACAGGTGCCCCACACCGGGAAATAGTCGCCTCCCTTGTTTGCCTGAAACATCGCACACAGTCTGCAAATGAATCCTGCGTCAACACACTGAAACCTAGTTGATCATATTTTACACTTACCTCAATAGCAAGTTCATAAAAGATTTTTGCCGCTCTTTCATAACCAGATGACGTGATGCTGGCACTTCCACCCGGGTAAAGGATCCTGATGACAAAGACAAAAAGTGTTCTGTATCTTTTTTTGGAAAAAATACATATCGGGGGTGGACAAAATAATAGAAAATGTCCACAGGCCCTTGGAGGTGGTGATTGAACTCCGTGACATGTTTTAAGGTTAATGTCGCTTTGTGAGTTTCCACGTTATAAAACTGTTTGCATGTGATGCCCAACATACTCAGCTGGTGCTTACTAGATAGCTTCTTTGTACATCTGTGTGTAGATGTGTACATTAAGAAAAATAACTATACTTTTTAGGATATTTGCTTCATAATAATTGCCTTAAAAATGTATATTATATTAAACTCAATCTCAGCAAAAGCTGACCAACTAAAGTTAATCGTTATCTTTTCTGAAACATGGGCTCTGTGAACCTGTCTTGTCAAAAGGCATTTATAAAAAACACAAATGTATCTCATTATTAATTTTGAAACAAATCTACATCATAGAGGCTGTGAACATATTATAACCCATTTACCCGTTAATGGAGTTGAACAGTTTCTTATACTCCTCCAGTGTCTGGTTAATCCTGTAGGAATAGAAGGGGGAGGTTAAAGGTTAAAGGTGTTAGTTCAAGAACGCTGTTGTTGCAAAAAGCTCTCATGTACTAAAGGAATGACAGCTAAGGAAATGTTTGATGATAACTCACATGACAGGCACAACCCTCGCTCCTGCTGACTCCAGGAACTTGACATAAGAGGCGGCAATGTAAGCCGTTTGATTTGGTTTGGTTGTAGGGGAACTAACTTCTTGAGCCAGTACTCCTATTGAGAGGAAAATAGGTATAACCAGGTATACAGTAGGTAGTAACGACACTTCTGTTCGCATGCTTTTACTTTTGAAAACTAAAACAACAATAATACAGTCAGTTGGAAGCTTTAGCCTATGTCAAAATGCAAGGTAAGCCATATTTAATTTAAGTTAATAAACTTACCAATGATGGGTCTGTCATTCCTCTTGCCTGAAGAATAAAACAGCAGACACGTTGAATCACTGCCCATAATGCCGTCTGGTATATTGCACACAGGTATTTAGCACTTTATTCCCCTTTTTTTCATATCGTACCTTTGGTCCGTTCACATCCAGACTGATCACTGACTGTAAGGCGGTTTATGTTTACACCAGCAGAAGCCAGCTTATTACGTAACCGGCTAATGACATCCTCAGTCAAAACCTGAGTGCGAGCCAGGATGCAGGCGAAGTCAACGTGGAAAAGGAAGTGGTCGGTACAAGAGTACACCAGAGAATATGACTGGTAGTCTGTGGAGAGTACCCAGTAGGGACCATCTGGAACACCTGGACACAGATATGGTATGAAATAAATCCATGTAATGTATTCTGTATTGCATTATGAATATTAAAAACTAGTTTAAAACTATCTTTAAAGAAGTTGACACCCAGAATAGCAGGTTGAGACGAGTTTTTAACTCTGGCCACACCCTCAATTGTATTTCTCTTCCCATTAGACCTGTGCAGAGAAGAGTGGGAGAAAAGTATGACTAATGTAAATAAGGGTTTCACTTGAATGATACAAGAAATCCAAATCCATGCACACTTGGCAGAGTGAATGAACAGACGAATGTAGGCAACCTTTAGCCAAATGTTGGAAAACATTAGTTTTTAACTGAGAGAGCAGAGGCAGTTCAATCCTTACATCAGCTCTGCATTGTGAACTTTGACCGAACCATCAGCGAGCATACTGTATGTAGCTTGATTACATGTTCCTCTTTCAAACACAGCTGGGAACTTCTCGATTTCATACCAGGTTCCCAAATACTAAAAAGGAGAAAAGCACAACGGTTGTTAATCAGCAGCTGTGTTTTCGTGACATCTCCTTCAATAAGACACTGTTTATATTAACTAAATACTCAAAATGGAAAGAATGGCAGCACTTCATAAATTACTAATGTGAAAAATTATTACCTAATTGAGGTAAGTTAACAGTATTTTTACCTTCATAACATCGAAATCCTCTTGAACAGAAGGACGGCGACATTTGCCAGGGTGGAAAGACTGAGCGTCAGCTGCCGCAGCGGTCAGGAGGAGAACGAGCAGGACCTTCACATTAAAGTTAGAGTAGTTCATGTGCTTAACTACGGTCCAGTGTCAGAGTAAGAGTGCAATAGCAGGCCACCCAATGACAGTGGATTGATTTAGCATGTTACAAATGATGGAAAAATGCTTACAGTACCTGGTATGCCTTCATGTCCAAGTGGGGAAAAGACTCACAAAAGATGTTCTGATAAAGTAAAAGCACACCACCCTGCTCTACTACAATCATGTACTCCAACGTATCAGTGTGGGACAAACTGAACTGCGAGGGTTTTGTTTTAGAAGTGTGTCGTTTTCATGCCCTTTGGAAGGAAAACATGTTTCAAGATCTGTTTACAAAACCTTTACCCTTTGGCCGTTGCTCCTTCACAGATAATAGCAGCTACCATGGATTCAAACTGCCGTCCAACTGTCCAAATGTTATCATTTTACTCTAAAAAGAAACACTATTCCCTGCGTGTTATATTCAGTGTTCCTATTGTGAATTTCAAAGCTGATAATTGATTTTCACTGCATTAAGTTGTAACATGTTAAATTGTCTATTTACAAGTCTAGCAGACACACGGTAACATTATCAATCATTTGGAGTCATGTTTCTGGTCAACCATGAAATACTAATGACTTTCTTTTCAGCTCTGTTTTGGTCCCCGAGAGAAATATTCTGGCTACTAAAGGAGCTAAATGATCCACTATGTTCACTAGCTTGGTTGTTTTTCTCATTTAAGTTTTTATTTGTCAAACCACACCAACATCATACACAGATACAAAAACTAGACCCGTCAGACAGCAAACAAACTAACAAAGAACAAACAAAACAACAAAAAAGACAAATAACCATGAAAATAATAAAACAGAAAAAATACAAATGACATAAAATAAAAAGCTACATTGATCACTTAACTTAAAAAGGCAGCTACAAGAGCTTACTTCCATTTCACTACTTGTTTGGTTGAAGATTCAACAGATGGAGCGACATCGAATGATGTGAAAACATTCATGAGACGAGAGATTGAGACAGCAAGTAGGCTGTTAAAAATGATGCAAATTCAAAAGATGCCTTCCTGTATTTATAAGTGTTGTCGTTTTTTTTCTTGTGTAACAAATGGACTACAACTGCATTTTCTTGTGCAACCCTGTGTTGCATAATGACAATAAATGATCCTAGAATCCTTAAAAAGGAAAAGCCGCTCAGCAGACAATCATCAGAATAGATACATTTGCTCAAAGGGGCTTTGGGGCCGAGTGTGAACAGGCTTGTAGTTGTATATCAGCGCTTTTCTCTCCTCCTCCTCCTCCTCCTCCTCCTCCTCCTCCTCCTCCTCAGATCTGAATCTATGAAAGCTCTTTCTGGCTGTAAGGAGACACAAATGATTTACAGATCAATAAGGCTCTATGATGCAATTACTGACTCTGTAATTAGGGAACCATAAATAATGCTGTGTTCATACCTTCACTGACAAAGAATTCAGCCATGTAGAAGGTGGTCTTTACTGCTGATGGAGAGTGTGGAATGAAAGGATTCCGCCATTCGAATACATTTTTCTCCGGATGCCACTGCGTCCCATAAAATGGGTAATCATATGCTGCCGAGAGGTAAGGGAAGAGAAAGTACTCATTCACAAACAAAAGTTACCTCCGGAGTTCTTTTGCTTTAAACTTGTACTGATTAAGCGATACTGAATTGTACCTACCTTCAAACGTTGACACAAACTCTGTCGTTCCATCCGTATTCGTGGAGATAACTTTGTCAAACTTCTTCAGCTCCTCATTTGTGTTAATGAAAGAAACAGACAGAGGTTAGCGACAAAGCACCCGGTTCCACAGTGCCCGATTTTCCCTTTCACTGCTCTTTATGTTCTAAAAGGAATAAAGGCTCATAATTCACATTACTCCAGCAATGATGGGGTACCCGTGCTGTGGCTCCTGCACTCCACACTCATTATACTTGGTGTGTGGGTAATGTTTTCTCATTATAATAGCAGAGACTGACGTACCGACACTGCCAAACCAAACTTGTGAGAGTGTTCCGTCAGCGACTCAGAAGCCAGATCTTCCATGAGTTCAGCGGGGAAGCCTTTGAACAGTCTGCTGCCTTTGGTTTCTGCAAATGGGTCATAACAATATTATTTGTTGTTGATAACACGTTGCATTTGTCAACAAATACACAATTTCAGAACATATTTAAAGAGGTTGATATAAAGATGGTCCATTTTTAATGGTGGTTGATATGGAAACTGATGGAAGTAATAAACTAATGTTCATATTATACTGTGACTGTGTTAATATTACAACAACGCAAACGTGGCCTTTTAACCTATTCAGCTCATTTGCTAATCTAATTGTAATGTTTAAACCATGGATGAAAATAAATCATTTTTACATTTAGGCATTGTAAACAACTAGTTCTGGTCATTTTGGTAAAATAAACTAAGATTTTCAGACCTGAATGTAACTGTATTCATCAGTATAAAGACAAAGCGATACCATCAGTGAAGCTCAGAGGCAACGTCACACCACTCGTATTGGTATACGACAGCGTCGATTTTACACTTGTGAAATATAACAGCTGCTGAAATCCAAGACAGGTGCCCCACACAGGGAAATAGTCGCCCCTCTCGTTTGCCTGAAACATCACATACAGTCTGCAGCATAAATCCAGCACAAACGCACTGAAACCTAGAAACCTAATATTTTACACTTTTACCTCGACTGCGAGCTCATAAAAGATCTGTGCGGCTCTTTGGTACCTAGAGGAGATGATGCTGGCCCTTCCTCCTGGGAAAAGGATCCTGTTAACAACAACGGAGTCATGACTCAAAGAAAGAAATCATACAGGGGGGGTGGACAATATAACAGAAACACCTTAGCATTTAAAAATGCTTGAAAAAAAACTGCCATAATGTCCATACGGTTAAAATACTGAGCATTTAATGGCCTTATATGGTTTCTGCTGTTTAGTCCACCACTGTACATTTGTACTTTTCTGACACATACCGAGCAGTCAGCAGATTCCTGAAATGTGGTCATTTATAAAAGACCACATACATATATCGCATCATTATTCATTCTGGAACACACTTCCGCCATCTTTGACAGCTGAATCGGTGACTATGTTGTAGCACGTTTACCCGTTTATGGAGTTGAACAGTCTCTTGTACTCCTCCAGTGTCTGACTAAGCCTGGAGACATAAAAAGAGGAGGTTAAAAGTTTCAGTTCAAGAACTGCTGCATAAACAGCCTGCTGTGTTCGCAACCAAACGCGAAGAAAATCTATTGTATAAAGTTGAGTCACGATTATGCCAATTTAGACAAGGCGACTGGTCAGCTCTCCATAGAAATGAATGAGATCTGTCAACACCGGATTTGGTGCATCACCGGCTTTGCGTTTGGTGTGATCACAGCATCGGGATATTAACTGGAGGCTCCTGTACTGGGGGAATGACAGCAGATAGTTGGATGATAACTCACATGACAGGCACAACCCTCGCTCCTCCCGACTCCAGGAACTTGACATAAGAGGCGGCAATGTAAGCCGTTTGATTTGGTTTAGGGGAAAGAATTTCTTGAGCCAGTATTCCTTTTGAAAGAAAAACACAACCAGTTAGGTCTGTAGCCTAAGCAAAGAGTCACTTTCTAACCTTAAACAATGATAATAAGGGCAACTGCCTTTGCCTGGGGGCCACTTCTACAAAACGGTATGAGGCCAGGGGCCAGTTAATAAACAAACATTATTGTGCATTATTGAAATTAAAAGTAAAATTGTCAATTAAATTATTATCATTGTGAATTAGAAAAGGGTGAGCGGGCCATTGAGAATCACATAGACTGTTTTACAGAAGCTATGGTAGCACATTGGATTTAAATAGAAAAAAAGTGTTTTTTTCTATTGTGATGCAATGCGCATGCACGTTACACACAAATGGAAGTGCACATGCTAATCTATCCCTGGGAGTTAGGAGTTGGAGGCTGCAGCCGAGAGTTCAACTGTGTGTACAAATGCCAAAGAAGCACCGGTTTGTAAGGTCAGCCATGGGTTTTTTTTTTTTACTTTGGTGTCGTGCACCTGGGACTTGAGTCGACTCACCTGAGACTATCCCGACATCCGGGTTGTGTTGCAGTGAATAACGTGTACACTTACCGATAACGGGCTGTCATTTCGCTTGGCTGAAGAATAAAACAGACACGCGAGAGAAACGCAAAAGAATAACAACATTGTTTGTTTGTAGAAGTAGCACCTGAGCACGCAGGTAGCCTGTCTCCATTCAAACTGTTACAGGGTTGATTACATCACTTCCGGGCTGCTTCATTCAAAATAAAAGCTTTCCATTTGGCGCCAACTCCCTAGATTATATATATATTTCGTTTTTCCAGAAATACACGGATAATTAACCACCGAGATGCAAACATGTTATGTATAATATATTATGTGGTGATAATTAAAATGAAGTTTTTAAAATAATTTGTGAAATGCTTGGTTTAGGCTGTAGGAAGAAATATGTAAAAACTAAATCCAAAAAACGTTTATTTTAATTTTAAAATAATACATTCCAACTCCAAGTGTCACAAAATTGCAGCAAAGAAAATACCAAAGATAGGTTTGAGACAATTTATTCACGTTACTTTTCAGCTGAAAAAGTTCTGGCTCAGAACGTCTGTGGGCATAATTCTCTGTAACCAAATAATCGCAAAAATAATCTTTCGGGCCAACTTGGTCCAGCAGAACAAACAGTAAACTGTTCTATTACAGTCAGAGGTATTTGAGGTTTTTTTCTGCACTGAATTGAGAATGAAACAAGAGCAGATTATGAAAAGAGAAAACTTTATTCATCAAAGCACCAATATTTACACAAAAACATGTGACTTTTCCCCCTTGGAATTTCTTTTTCTGGTATTCTTATTTTTTCAGGATGAAAATATTTAGCTTTTGAATTGTATCACTACATTAGGGGGAATTTAATTTTGACTGCTGTCACCATTATCCAGAAATCTAGAAACGTAAAAAAAAAAAAAAACTGTACAAAAAGATAGAAAAGAGGCAAAAATTGAGAAGAAACAGTCATTTGACAAACAAAAAAACTAAAATTACATTCTTAACTTTAATCATCTGATTTCATGTTATGTGCTGTGACGGTATAAATAAATCATTGAATTTAAATTAAATATCCTATTGAGAGAAAGAGCTGCTAAGATGTGAGATCACCAAGATGTATGAAAAGCTACAACACAAACTAGAAAATGTTTTTTTCAAAATAAAGTACAGTGCATCAAAAATGACTTTGGTGGCAACACTGGTTGTCTGGTCTTCCCACTGTTGGACGAGGGACTATGTAAGTTACGCAAACAGATTTCTTGCCCTTAAAACAACTCTACAAACTTTTAAAACACTCTCCATGACAACCTGTAAACAAAACAGCGACAGTAGCCATTTATTTATACTTCCATCATAAAAGTCTTTGGAAATCCCCAAGAAAAACTGCCACGTTTAAGGACAGGCGCAGACTCCTGCAGCCGTTGCATCTTCAGTCTCATACAACAAAGCACAAAACACCTCGGTGACGATGTGGTGAAAAGCCATTTGTGCTGCTTTGTTTGATTCTTGTGAAATGACACAGATGCGTCTTGTTGCAAATGAGTCAACTTTCTTTGAGTAAAGGTTAAAGGTGCTTCGTGTATCATTTTACCATTAATGAATCATTACTACATTCTCTTTGAGATGTTAGCATTATTGTCATGGACATGTACAACTGCTGCCGAGGAGACTGGCAGCCTCCATAAGCCTCAATGTTGCATTTTACATTATGTGCCACCAGGTTGAATAAAAGAAGAAATCTTCCGGATTGCTTCACAACAGGAAAGAACGTATTGAATTTATGTTAGTTTACCTTCCAGGATTTTATCTTGGCTGTTGTCAAGACTTTGTTACCGCCTCTTAACAATATTCTCGCTCCTCAGAAATAACACGGAGGGATGTCAGAAAAGGGAGTAGAGCAATTTGTACTGTAACATCAAAGAAATTGCGTTAAATGTGGTCCTCTGTTTTTAAAACCACAAAATGCTACACGTAGCACCAAATGTTTTCCCCGAGTGTTTAACGTTTACGGTGGCTGGCATGGTGGAGTGGTATGGGGGGGGGTTTAAAGGTTTTTGTGGGTCTCGATGCAAAGAACGATGTGCTGGTTGGAACAGCTCCTCGTCTGCTGGCCCAGGAGCAGACCTGAGGTCAGGCTCGATGACTGGCCCATGACAGACATGTGGTCCGCTCGCCACGTCTCACAGTGTTTGTCCACCACCCGGAGACCCCCGCTGGTGGAGCCGTGCCAGATACTCTTCTGAGGCCTGACAAGTGGATGACAGAGAATATCAACATGACAGGAAATAACAGAATAACAACAGACAGACAGACACAAACAAATAAGTAGTAAGTCAATCAAGTTAACTGACCAGAAGGGGTCAGCTAAAACATCTCGGCCGTCGAATGAGTAGATTGGTATCCTGGCATCCAATGGCCCACCGTCGCCGTTGAAAATTGACCGCCAGTTCCTAAACATCACGTCCCCCTAAAAGAAGACACATAGTGGGTTGGATGCAGCCAGAAGTTCTTTGTACGTTGAGGATTCCTGAGTGATAAAAAGCAGGAGAGCGGACTCACCCTGAGGTTGGTAACTGGCAGAGTTTCCCGGAGACTGGGATAGACCACGTGGACCAGGTCCTGCCTGTGGGAAGAAATGAAGGCGCGGTAGTTTGGAGCCAAACCCATCGCCTTGGCTTGCTCGTAACACATCCGGTCGGCTACGTCGAGCCCCATCATGTCGCCTGAGTGGGGCTGGTTCAAGGCCACGAGGGTGAGCTGGAGGGAGAGGAGGCAACAGATCGGTGTTAGTCCACTCTAGGATGCGAGTAAGAATCCGGAATATTTTGTCTTGAGTGACCCCTGCAACGGGTAGTCTGCACTGATAACGTACATGAACGTACATAAACCACCCACACAAAAATATTATGCAGTTTGCTGCAGCAGAATGTGAAATTAGCTGTGTACAGACACAGAGGTGCACAGTCACTCACTTACTCAGAAACTCACACACAAACTCATTCACTCCCTCACTCTATCCCTCCCTCACTCTATCCCTCCCTCACTCTCTCACTCCATCAAGAATGCATACAATTGGCCGATCGCACAATCCCCCTGGTGGAGATAACCATGTATATTAAATGTCCTAAATGTTTCATAGAATCATGTGTTACATAATAATCAATAATGTTTCGTAGCATTCCTCTGCAAATTCAATGTGGCAGAATATTGAATATTCTAACCCCAAATCAAGCGATCAAGCGATTTAAAATATTTAAAATAACACAAACTTGTTGACACTCACCCTTTCGTTGACTGAACGTATTCTTTCCATCGTGTCTCCTCTTATCTGATATGAAGCCCGGGGCTAAATAAATAGTTGAAAAGAGATGTTAAATGGATTAAATACTGCATAGAACAATAACTTTTTTTTTTACTGAACAAAAAGCCATAAAAATAAGTACCTCATCTTGTGGAACAATGTTATTGGAGAGGTAGATCAGACTGCTGAGCTGTGGAGACAAAACTGACTGTAAATCGGATGGATTATGTTGTGTTATTTGACCTCATGTTGTCTTTACATTAAATGTGTTGGATGTACAACAACAAAAAACAATATGTCCCAACAACCAGTTTGTTTGTTACATTGCATACGCAGTCTTTAAGTTCATGAATAATCATGTGATTCACTGATTTTTTAGGACTGTGGGATTATTTCCCTTTTACAACCTTGTTCTCAGCAATGAAGAGCATTTCGTCAAATATTGCTGTACCCTTGTTGAATAATCATTGATCGTCTTCTCGAATAGAGAGACCGATTGGCCTTCAAAAATGTTCCCAGAAGCCAGTGGTGATGTTGGAGTGCTGATTTACAGCCAGTGAATCAGAAAACTCACTCAATGCAACGCTGACCATGAAAACGTCAAAGTAATCAACAGAAAAGCAATTAAACTGCTGTTACACCATCAGTCAACCTCTGACATACGCGCATTACATTTTAAACATTTACTAGCAGCTGTATGCTGCATCTTCATTTTTCAGGTGTCAGATTTACCAAACCTATAAATACATAAGACGAGCCCAAGCCAGTACCTGTATCTCTTTCCATCCCTGGGAGACCTTGAGGAAGAGACTTCCTGTGGCCGTGACGTACATCAGAGTCCCCTCTGCATCCCTGGCGGTGTGCTGCATCATACTCTCACGGGAAGCAAATGTTTTCAGCTGAGGAACGAATAAAGAGGAGAAAAACTTTACCTCTGGAAGTGTTGATATTGTTATGATACTGATCTGGTGTGTCGTCATACAAATGTTCATAGCTTGCTGGTGTATCATTTGTATGTAGTTCCACAACATGGCCAGAAGGGAACAGGTTCACTTACAGATGCCGAGTTACTCGAAGGTCCAGCAGGTCCAGCAGGTCCAGCAGGTCCAGGCGGGCCGGCAATGGTCAAAGCTGCCATAACAAAAATGTCAGCAACTTTCACGCAAGCTCCTTATTACATTTTGTATCATCTCATCAGTTACAGGAATGATATGTAAACCATGATTTCTATAAAGGATAACATTTTGCTGTAACTGTATGAGATAAGTGAGTGATGAATTGTACCTGAGCCGTATCTCGAGGCTGACTCAGAAGGTCCGGGAGGCCCCGGCGGCCCAGGAGCGCCGACCGGTCCTGGTCTGCCATAGCCTGGAATACCCGGTGAACCTGGCACCCCAGGGTGGCCTGGTGGACCGAGCACTGACTCCCCTTTGGGTCCCTGAAATGCGTCAGGAACAGCGTTAATCTGTTAATCTCTTGAATCAAATAAAAACTAACAAGGACATTAGACAAACGACTAAGACAAAATAAAAATATCCATGTAATCTTGACTCACCACAGGCCCTGGTCTTCCGGCGTTACCTGCTTGCCCAGGCAACCCTGCCTCCCCCTCGTCTCCCTTCTCTCCTTTAGTGCCCTGCTCACCTCTTGCCCCCTGTGATTACATGGCACAGACAAAACCACACAAGACTTGAAGGGTTAGTCTGCACTAAAAGCACTAAAAAATATAAAACCTCCATATGAAACTTACCCAGCCTCCCCTGGGAAGAAAAGAGTCTAGAACAGAGAAAACAGGTGGGAGAATTAACTAATGATTTTGAGGAAGTAAAGAGAAAATACAAGTTTAAATGTCCTCCTGCAGATAAAATCAGGCCTTTGAATTTGCTCATCAAAACACACTTTATAGATTTGTTTTGTACCATAGTTTTCCTTTTCATCATAGATTATCTTTTTCTCTTTGATGGCATTTACATTTTTCACTTTCTAAATATTGAAGAGCTGAGTGTTGACTCACTTGGCGGCGCAGGGATCCCAGGAAGACCTTGCTCTCCCCTCTCCCCTTTCGGTCCCGTCTGACAGTCACCTTGGAGACAAAAAGCCAAACTTAAATCGAATTGCTCGTCTTTACATTTGATGACTTGCCTACGCAGCGATTTATTTTAAAAGTTTAAAAAACTGCGTGTATTGCAATTATGTTTTATGAGTTTTCTTTCAAATCGACCTGCAAAAGTGTTGAAAACAGACTTCAGGTTTTATAATTCATGGCAAACAAAAGAGGTGACCCAACCTACCAACTGCAATGGTTCCATTGGGATTAAGCTGAAATAATGGAGCACAAACATATTAACAGCAGTCGTGATGACTGAATTTAGAAATCATACATCAATATCAGGCTAATCATCCAAGAAAGGAAGACTTGTCATACTCGATTCCATTCTGAAAAATATTAAATCCTCCAATTGGTCTCGTTAATATCATCCTCAACATGCAAATGAAACTGTGGATGTGATTTTAGTACTACCTCCTTTCTGGATTGGCACACAGCCTTCACCTTTCCAGACTGGACATGCAGCATGCAGGAATATTTTAGAACCATCCTGGAACAGTTCTGAGTGATACAAGGTTAGGCAGCAGCAGTGTTGAACAGAGCTACATGCACCGTGTGTGTGTACAGAAGAATAAAAGAGGGGAGATGTGTGAGAGGAGACAGATAATTAGGGGAGTCTGTGATGAGGAGAGATGTCTGAGTGGGCTCAGCAGAGAGATAATTAGATCCATAAATAAAATGATGAGGTTGTGGAGGGAACTGAGGTTCAATGAAGATGGATGGCCACTTAGGATGCAGCTTCGCCTTCACTCTAAAGGCCGGTAGAAAAAGTAGTTTAATCATGTCGACTATTATGATTTTATCATGTGCTAAAGGTAATGAAACGGCATCTCTCGTAGACTCCGGTGTGTCGTTTTTTATATATGATTTAGAATATAGACAAAGAAGGAGGATGACAGATTATATTAGACTTGTCATTAGAAAGGAAATGAATACATGAAAAAAGTTAAATTCTCAGGCATGTGTAGTAAAACACAGGGTTGCAGAGACGGGAACTTACAGGCATTTTGCAGTGGGGTCTGGGAGGGATGGGGAACACGGTCTTCAGAAACCAGGGGAAGGGAGAGGACAGTGAGCACATAAACAAAACACACTCCATGAGAATTGTGTCAGAGCCGTGTGTTGATGAATGGGTGTGTGCTTACTCCTTTCGGGCAGTTGAATATTCCTGGACGGCCTGGCAGCCCCGGGGGGCCAGGAGGTCCCTAAAGGAACAACCGGGGAAGAAAAGAAAATACATGAACATGGAAGAAAGAAAGAGAAAAGGGGAAAACAAGGTGCTATACAACTAAAAGCAATATCAACTCAATCATATTCTACTACTCAATCACTGCACGTTTCATTTGCAAGTTGTAAACCAGTATCTTTTGTATTGTTTTACACATACAAACTTCTACAGTCTTTTCACATGCTCTTAATTCAGCTCAGGTGTGTGACTCACCGGCAGGGCTGCAGAGTCTCCACTCTCTCCTTTTGGTCCCATCAGGCCTGGACGTCCCTACACACACACAGACAAACATCAACCAAAAGCATGATTCCCACAGGGGGAGGTGGGGAGGTGGGTAAAATGTGTGACTTCATTTAATGCAAACAGCTGGTGTATTGTAACTATGGGTTGAGAAGCTTTGTTTTTTGTTAATGCTGAAGACAAAACATTCTCCATTGAAAGGAACATAGAACATATATATTTCTAATCTGGTGCTTACAGGTCTACCAGGAAAACCAAATTCTCCTTTGGGTCCTGGTGGTCCGGTAGGCCCCTGTTGGGAACAAAACAAAGTGAGTGACATGATTCTTAAATGCATTCATTGCACCTTCATCCAAAGCAGTGGCTGCAATTAAAGTTACTCGTGTCACAGAACCTGAAAGGTGAAATTATTAGTTACTTACTGTAAGTCCAGCAGGTCCGGATGCACCGTTATCTCCCTGCAACCAAATGTACATTTAAACTGATTTGTAAAGTCCCAATGAAATGTTTTAAACAGATATTTAAATCCTGAAGAACGTGCACACACTAAATATCCCCAGTGAGTTCATGCAAAACAACTATGGACCTCATGCAAGAACGTTTTCATGTTCTTTTTTGCCCATAAGGTGGGATCATACGAGTGTGCCACATCAGATTCAGCAAGCGCTCCTAACTTTGGATATTTGTGTAACTGTAACTCTTAAATTCTGTTTGCACTCAAGAGGAAATTCAAAACACGAGAAGTTCTCCTAAATCGTGCCACTTAAGGATGAATCTGTTCGTACGAGTGGTTTTATGATGATCTGGATCCCGAAAGTTTCAAAAAATACAGAGGTGAAAACAAAAATAACCTTGAGTCCTTTGGGTCCAGCCAGGCCTGATGCGATGGATCCCTGTGCTGCGATGGCAAGTCCTGACTCACCCCTTTCACCCTGCGTGCATACACACATGTCAACAAACCATATGTAGACACGGAAAGGCAACGTATTTGTACACATCATGTTTGTTTGGTCTATTCAGTCTGCTAATGTATATTACGTATGATCAGAGACAACACATGCATGTCCCACTTACTTTCAGTCCTCGAGGTCCTTGAACTCCTGGTAACCCACTGTCTCCCTTTGGACCCTGTGGTCCCTGCAAACATTTAGGTAATACAAATTACTCCAAAATCTAAGATAATTTCTCTACATGTTGTCATAGCCATGTTTGTATACTCTTTTTGAGTCATGTGCTATGCTGTTGTTGTGTCTCCAAGATCACTTGGTGTTCTGATTGAAGCTTTTGTTATTTGATACTTACAGCGCGTCCCTGAGCTTCAGAGATCCCTGAGAAGTTGAAGGCACCATCTGTATCGTTCAGTAGAAGCTGGATTGTTGGCAGAAGGAGAATGTTGTCAATGGAATCAAACTCTTGTTACACGCAAACAGCAACACTGGACTCTCCCTTTACAGCCCACTGTAAGTAAGCCTGGTCTTGAGTGGTTGAGCTCAGGTGCTACTTACATCCTGGAGGTTGATAATGGGTCCTGCTGGTCCAGCTGGTCCTGGAGGGCCGGGTAGACTGAGCCCATCCCGTCCCTTCTCTCCCTGAAAAAAAAACCCGTTTGACATTTGAGCCTAATAGTAAATGGCAACAGAACTGAACGCACATACTCTGTGCGTGGGTCCACATGTGAGTTTGTCCATGTCACATGAGGTTTTACCTTTTGTCCTAGATCTCCTGTGTTCCCCTTTGGTCCCTGTAGATGACACAAGATAAGACACTCAGTTACTAGCACCAGTATCTTTCACTGATACATCCTTATTCCAAATACATCATTGTTCTTTAGCTTGTCTTTGTATAGTTGAGAATGATACATTAAAAGTGGAAATGTATATGTGTTTTAAATTAGGAAGAGCATCCATCAACACATTTTAAATCCACTTTTCTGTTCCACCAAAAGTCACAATAGAGCCAGTAAAAATCAGTCTGAACCATTCATAAAATCTGACATTTTCCTGAAATCCTTTATCTGTTCATGTATCTATTAGTCCATTTACTGACCTCTTCCCCTTTAAGTCCCTCCAGTCCTGGAAACCCGGGTCGTCCTGTAACACCTGCCTCCCCCTACAGACCCCGCAGAGAAACAGTAATCAATCACACACATCGCTGTTATGAGATAACCTGCAGTGTGATGCTTCGTTTCTGCAGGAAGGTTACATGAGGATCTCAGGTCAGATCCGACAACAACCACAACCGGGGAGGTCGTGAACTTGGTCACAGTGTCTCTGCTCTCCAGAGCACCTCGCTGGCCTTTCGCTCTACAGCTGTCCACTGTGACCTAAGAGTTCAAGACATTGACGAAGCTCGGGCCAGCAGCTTGTGCTGAGATAAACCTGACGTCTCAATAAGCGTAACAGGACATGACAGCAGACTCACCTTTATCCCCGGCTTTCCCGGGGAGCCGTCTAAACCATCTTTTCCCTATGAGAGGCAAAGAGGGAGAAAGTGGTTTAGTGGTGTCAGTCACATAAAGAGTTCCTTTTCTGTCTGCCTATCTTAACTATAACTCTAACCCTAACATTAAAACCAAGTCTTTACCCGCATATAACAACATAATCAGCTTTCAGAGCACTGACGACAGCAATACTGTGAGTATCACAGACATGTAAATATCTCACCTTGGGTCCTTCAAGTCCGGGGGTTCCTGGAGGACCCTGTGTAACAAATACAAGTACATTTATCTGGACGCCACAAGAATAGAAGTGATGGTTTGATGAAATTACACTGATGATTGATATTATGAAAGCAAAATATTATGGTGCAGAATTCTCTTTATGCTAACCACACTCAATGCAGTTGTACCTGTGGGCCTCTGGACAGAGCATCTCCAAAACCACCCTGCATCCCAGATCCTTCCAAGTCCTACAAAATAATTTGACAAAAAGATATTCATAAGGATCAAATTGTGAGTGTATAAGATATTTTTGTTTCCCAAAAAACAGTTGCAATAAAATCCAGGAAATCACCACGCCACCCTAATTCCTCATGATATCATTTATGGCAATGTGACAGGTTTAGCTTTTTCTGTAAGTACACCGTTCATGAAGTGGTGAAACAGACCGTACCTCAAAGCCCATGGTGAAGCCTCTCCCAGGAGGACCTGGGGGCCCAGGGGGGCCAGATGAACCCCTGGGACCAGGCTGGCCCTCTGGTCCCTCTGAGCCTGGAAACCCTGGAGGGCCCTGATCTCCCTGCAAGGGATGAGATCAAAATGATGACGAAATCAGATAAACCAATAAATTAATGAAAAGTGTGAGGGTGAAGGGGGAGATGGTGATATGGGTATTGATAAAAGGAGAAAAAAGGGTTACTTAAATAAAAACACAGGGCTGGAAACTAAAGAGTAGAGACTTAGCGTACAGGGTGAATGTAATGTAGAGTACAAATACCACTTTGGGTCAAATGTAAAGAAGCAATACAACGAGTGATAATATCAGTATTGGGGCTTCACTGTCCAGTCAAGGATGACATAATCAATATGTTACCTTTGCTCCTGTTTGCCCGCCTGCACCACGCTCTCCCTGTTCAACAGATGAAATGCATTAAAATCACAGGCAGAGCAGCTATTGCAACACAGACTTGTTCACACTCGAGCCCCTTAGCTTCATTAGTCCACGGGGTCGTCTCATTAGGAGCTCGGCTCTTCGTGTTAGGTGCTTATCCAGTTTGTGTGTAATTGTTTTTGCTAACGGAGCACTAAGAGGCCTGCTCAAGGGAAATCAGAGAGAGCTCAGACTAAGTCACAAAAACGGTCGGTGTGCTGCACATTCACGTATATGAGGCTGTTTAAACTGCAGGTCGATGCATGTCAGTCCAGAGGAGCACTATATTGTGATGATGCATTCTGTGTTGCAAACTAATATTCATCAGCCTCACCGTGTCTCCGTTCTCCCCAGCAGGTCCTGGATCCCCATCGTTTCCATCAACTCCCTGCAAGAGTGACGTGACTATATTCAAATTTCAGATATTAGATGCATATCTATCTATTCCAGATGGGAGTCAGCTCTGTACATTCACTGCACAGTTGGCATGGGTTATTACATTGTTGGTCATCATTCATCAACATATTGAATGAAGCTAATGGGCTAACGGGGACTGAAGCGAATAAACCTTATATGCACTTAACAGCAGAAAGGGTTGTAAACATGCGAGCAGTCCATTCACACAGTTAGCAAAAGCTTCTGGCATTTTAAAGACAAAAGACACATTTCCCCCAACAGATGCTGCAGCTCACACCATGTTCAGAAGCTCTTACAGTAGTTTCTGCCTAAGTGCTGTTTCTGTAGCTAGAGGATACTTGACGTGTTTTTAATCAACACTGTACAGCAAGCAATGGCAGGAAAGCAGTACATGAACATGGGTTTTCAAATGTAGTTGGGGGAAATACTGTCTTTCCAGTCCCTTGGATCTTATGGGACCAATGGTTAATACCTGACCAGACCCTGAACCAGAACCAGACCCAGAACCAGAGCCACTAAACCACTCTTCAATCCCCTGAAAACAGAAGTTGGGTCAGCAGTTCACTAAGGATTGGCCTCAGTCAGGTTATATTGATATTGCACCTTTCAAACAAATCAAATGCAATTACAAATGATTGAAAAGACGAAAACCAGTCAAAAGAGACATTTAGCTGTGGCACTACATGGCTTTACTGAAGTACAATTAACAGATGATACAACACAGAAGAGTCGACATTATGGAGGAGTATGTTTGTGTGTTGCTCTTATTGATTGAAATGTACATGAAAAATAGGAAGAAAAGAATGTTTAACTTACAGGCAGTCCAGGTTCACCCTTCTCTCCATCCTTCCCATTTCTTCCAGGGACCCCAGGTGGTCCAGGAAAGAAGTCTTCCGATGGGCCTCCTGGGGGCCCTGGCTGTCCCGGGAGGCCGGGAGGCCCTGGAGGCCCCTAATGGAGCAAAAAGACATATCTCGGTCACACAAAGGGGAAAAGTTTTAGAACGCACCTTCCATGTACCTCTGTAGTTAATGGTCCTATGTTAGCGGGTGTGCTGTAGTGTAAACATGCTAAATATTTACTCATGTCACAGAGAGAGAAAACAAGGTTCACTTACCCTGATGAACTCGGCATCACTGTCAAAGTCTTCAAATCCTGACCCCTCCTAAAGAACACATAACATATCATATAACACATAACATATGACCAGTTACAGTGACTACATTCAGACTGGTCAAATCAAATCCGGTCAAATCAAGTGAAGGGTTTCATGTCTCAATGCTTCATATTACAATCCAGTCGTGTTCATAATTTGAGATATGTTCACACGAGATTCATAATTAAATGCTTCAGCCAACCAGGCATCAGCATGACGAAGAATGAAAAACAACAGGATTATGAAATGGCTGAGAGACCATCTGCAATGTTTAACTATCTCTAAATTCAATAGCAGCAAAGACAACAGAACGTAGTGTTGGTGCACCTGGAAAGATGCTCCATGACAGATGCTCATACAGATAAAACAAAGGTCTATGAATAAAAACATTATGGATTTTGGCTTTGGTTTTTATCCCCACTGCAGCCCAATATAACTGTACTTCAGCCTGGGGCTGGACTTAAACGATCATTTCTCAATCAAGTGTCATTAATAAAGTGCAGAACAGCAGATTTTACTTGGACCAAGACATGTTTGGGAAAAGAAATGGCTTAATAACCAACCGGGAACGTGGAAGACTTGCTTGGTCGACTTGCAGGTCCAGGAGGGCCTGGAGGACCTGGTAGTCCAACACCACGATCACCCTGAAGGAGACAGCAACGGGACGTTTAATGATTCATTACTGATTTATACACTGGCTTGTTATGTAAGTATGTGATGATTCACACAGCAGTGGAGTGTCTTATAGGTAGTTACATTCTGTTCATATTCAGGTCCAGGTATCATGCTATTACAGTGGGAGTATTGTTTACCTTTTCCCCCATAGGACCAGGCTCTCCCTGTAGTCCTGGGAATCCTGGAATCCCAGTTGCTCCCTGGGAAAAAGACAGTAACAGCTGTGCTCAACGCTACATGAGATCTCACCGTATCAGAGGCCATGTTGTCTCCAGTTGTAAGAAGGGAAAGCAGCTTTGATACAGACAGTGATATCAGGAATGAGGCCAAGACCGTAACTTGATCTGTGACCCCAATCTAGTGCCATAAGACTGTGACTGCAATGTGCTGCATCAGCAGCTAGCATCAGATAATATGTATATACTGTAGTTACGTTATTTTGAAAAAGGACTTATTCCTGCATCAATTTTCCCCACTAAAGAAATGGACCTATAAGAAAGACTTTACTTACTGGGACACCAGTTCCACCTTTGCCTCCCTGGAGAAAAGACAAGAATAGAAAACTAATCCATCATTTTATCTTTTGATCTGTCAGACTGACCTAAATAACAGAGTGTGCTAAATTATTTGTATGATGTTCTTTAAACAGTTTCTGTTTGGAAGTAGATTGTTTTGAGTATCGCAAATAAAACTCACAGTCTGTCCGTCTTTCCCAGAAAGCCCAGGTGGACCTGTAGGTCCCCGTGGTCCTTGTGGACCGCGGGGTCCCGGCTCCCCTCCCTCACCATCTCCTGAGCCTTGTCCTGGAGGCCCGGGCGGTCCTGGAGGACCGGCTGGACCTGGCTCCCCTTGCTCCCCTTTCGGTCCTGGAGACACCTGGAGGGGCTGAACGTTGAATAAACTCTGAGTGACTCATTCATTCACTGGAACACAGCGACGCAGCAATACATGTATTACTCAAAATCTTTAATATGTGCTGTGCTGTGCATTGCATCGTCATCTCAATTATGAAGAAAATCACTACTTACAGTGTCAAATACAGAGTCTGGAGCACCCTGAACTGATTTCTCTGCAACAAAGACACAAAGTGAGCCCATGAAGAAAGAAAAAAAATATGTATACATATGTTTACAATACAATGGCACTTTATTTGCATGATTACATGACCTATTAAGATAATCATAATTTCGGGCCTGTCAGAGGAGAGAAAAAGAGAGACTCTTCCAGCACCATCTGCTGGCTAATTTGGGAAATACAAGCCATGTTCGTGTATTACGGCATTAATTCCATGTCAGCACACACATATAAAATACATGCTTGTGTGCATGTATGTGACAGAGGATACGGTAAGTCTTTGGTTTAGTACCCCAAAGAAATAAAAAAGGCAAAGATCTAGAGTTTGCTTCCACCAAATAATAATTCAATAATAATAAAAACAATAATTCAAAAACAAGAATTGTGTTTTTTTTTTTTTTTTTTTTACCTCTTACTGTGGTCATCTCCACTTCCTGTCCAGAAGGCGCCTCTATGTCTACGTCATCATCACCATCATCATCCCTGAGCGACATCTCAGTGGGCGGAGCTCGGACTGGGGTGCCGTAAGTGGGGTCCAGATCCGGGAGGGGCTGGAAAAAATGACATGTCATTCAGCATGTTTTTATGTAAAAGCCACGCAGAAAATGAGGAGATTAACGAGCCTAGCATGTCTGAATATTTTAGATTTTAACTTTTTGATTTATTCATGAACACAGTTGCTCAGGGGAGACAAAAGCGAAGGGAGTTGTTTGCCGCAGATGGTGGGAGATATTTTCCCTTAGACCAGATCCAACTACAGTGTCAGACGGAAAGCAACACTCCACACAAGCTGGCTCACAGCGCTGCATTACTGCAACAGTATTTCTGCAGCATTTTTACAAGATCTGCTGTGGTGATGAAGCATCCTGACCTCCTGCCCCAGAAAAGCCTGCTGCCCTGTTTATGAAATATCCATGGAAATAAGTGGCAATGAATAAGCAATCAATCTTTTCTTTCCTGCAGAGCGTTGGGTTTGTTGAAACTGTCTTCTGACTGTTCCCATGTGGTCGAGGAGGACATTGTTTCAAAAAAGTCACAAAAGGGGAAACTGTAAAATAGTGCGAGAAATGACACGCTGCGTTTACCAAAAGTCAGTAATAAGAGGACTTATGAGTTGGATTTCTCTTCAGCAGTGGGAAGTAACTTAAGTACTTCTTACTGCAAATAAAGAGTACAGTCTAAAATCATTGTACTTCAGTAAAGTTTAAATGGGGTGTTGTATTATTTGGACAAGAATTAAAGAGGAAACGGTGGCTTCAGTTCTGCTGGTGAGGCAGAGTCAGGAAGATTATTGTGACTTTTGAGTCTGCTTTCTACAGGATGACATGTTGAAGTGTTTTTATCCTTAAAGTAATAATTAACTTATCTGCTTTCTTGCAAAGAGTATAGGGTTGTAAGTAACACTATAAGACTCTCAGAGTGAGACAACCATCTCCGGATATTTCATCATTTTACATTATTATTATTACATTATTATTATTATTATCATCAGTTACAATGAACCTTAAAGTAATGAGAACAGAATTAATGTATTATAAGAAAACCTGGTTAAAAAACGTCCTGCTGTTCTCAGTTCTTCTTCTATGTCCAAATTATTTTACTGGGTATTTTTTTAGTGTGTTTAAATCTCATGTCCTGAATACGAGGGCTACTGTATCAAACCTGAAACAACTCCAATGTTAAAAGTAAAGCTGGGATAATCACATTTCTCTACACAGTTGGGGAGGAGTGGAATCTTTTTCACACAACTCTGAGCAAGAAAGAGAAAGGACAAACTTTCCAAAACGTGGAACTCTTTCTTTAAGTAAAATACTCTAGTACTCTTTCCATCCCCTGCCTCTCTTCTCTTGCATTCTTCTTTTATTTGTTCAGAGAGCACAGAGCTGGCAGGGAGCAGCACATATCACCATGTTCCAGTCTCCACCAGCCCGGCAAGTATAAGAGCTGCTTTCTTTGGTCCGGGTCCAACGCAGCTAAATGGGACAGACCGAGAGAAAGTGTGTGTGCGTGTGTGTGTGTGTGTGTGTGTGCAGTCACCAATGTGTACTCTCTCTCCTCCACAATCTTCTTCACTTCGTCTACTCCCTCAATGTCTTCATACGCGTCATCACCGCTCCCGTATCCAGAGGCCTGGAGAGAGAATGAGAGCGGAGAAAAGCGGAGTCAGAAGATGAACGTAGAGAAAGAGAGAAACGATTAAACGCTCTTCAACGGACAAATATGATCTGAGGTCGAGCTGCAGGGGGAGAAAACTGAACGAGGAGACAAGCCAAAAATGCATTTTCCTTCATTGAATAAAAAAACACTTGGTTCCCACAGTTTCTGTCATTAAACTGAACATAGCTCAACTTTAACTTCAGAAACACTGGATATCTCAGGTGGTTAATGCTCCGAACAATGTTAGACAGAGAAAACAGGAAAGCCGAATATATAGAACAAATATCATTTATTTTTAGCAAATCCAAACAGTAGGCTGTTGACAAAATGCATGCACATCTGAGATGTTTATCCTCACATTAAAATATCAGCTAATGATTCAAACCATGATGAGACATTGCAACGACACCGCTAATTAATATGGAGGACTTTGAAAGACAAACACTATGAAATTAGACGGGATTGAGGTCAGGTGTCTGTGGAAGCTTTATGAGTATCGGTATTGAGACAACACAATGCACTGTAGCATCTCCAGAAGTGCAGAAAAGCAGTCAAGTGGGTTCAAATGTGTTTATTGGTGATGTAAAAAAGAAATATAATAGTCTGAAAGATGTGGATATGAGTATACTGTGTATATACAGTATACATAATGTGTAATAAATGGAGAACTAAATACACACGAGTATAGAGACAGGACTGTCCACATACTTCTGTGCACATGGTTTACTGTAGTGCACTGTTTCCACCAGTAGAGGGAGGAATAGTTCCACGTTGAACATGTTTGGGCTGCTGAGGCAACAGGAACTTCCCTTCTTACAGACTCTTTGTGTGTGTGTGTGTGTGTGTGTGTGTGTGTGTGTGTGTGTGTGTGTGTGTGTGTGTGTGTGTGTGTGTGCGCACTCACATAAGGATCGTCCTCCTCACACTGGTCATCTGGGGCCGTGGGATCCGACTTCAACACCAGCTGCTGGATGGAGCCCTGGAGAGGGAAAGAGGAGAGAGTGTTATGTTGCGTGGTGATTTCAATTCACTCAGTGTCATTACATTTTATTAAAGCTCAGAGATTTCCCACGCAGCCTCCATCTCTCAGCGTAAGAGTTTATCCATCTCCCCCTCCACCGTTACCCCACACATTATCCAGCGCATACACAACAGCACACAGTGACACGCACACTCAAATGGACGTTCACAAACATCTGGCAGTGAAACAGGTGTCTCACGCTGATTCAAACTGTCCGCCCTACAAAGACCATTTCCCCATCAATCTTAAATCACCATATTACAGTATGGATGTGGATTCACGTTCGAAATACAATCATTTTAGCCGACAAATATCATCAGCATAACATGTTTTAATTAATATTCATTTTGTGTGTTAAGACTCAAATCGTAACATAAGACAGTACACCTGTGTAGTGTCCAAAGAAAGACCCTCTGTTTAGAAATGCTGGACCATCTTTGATTCTGGTAACAGCTGTCGGACAGCTGTTCATGTCTATGGCTCAACAAAGGACCTGTAGTTAAGTTAACACTTTGACACTTTATCACTTCAACCGTTTATCAATGTTGAAGCACTGACGTGTGTACGGTTAAACAGGCAAAGACTAATGGGCGGATCCTCCTTAATACAGAAGCTGCAAGTGAATCCCAAGAGGTTTGTGTTGGTTATTATTTCACTTTCTGGATTAGACCCAGTCTGTTGCGATGTTAACCAATTGACATTTTTCATGAATTTTGCCTGTGTTAATTGGCAAGTTTCTTTTTCTTTCTTTTTTTTTAATTTTGGAAGTTCAATGTCAGCTTCTATAATACGTTTTTAATAAACTCTGCAGCTAAAAATGTCTCAATTGAAGCAGTAAAACCACAATGTTTGATCCCACAGCCATTACAGCATTACATAATCATGCACTCTATTATTTAAAGCTTTAAGTCTAGAGTCCTGGCTTCAGAATTGTACTTTTTTCTATTTTCTACCAGATTGAACCATTTTTTTAGACTTGTTTGCCCTATGGGACTAATACATGCTATTTTCGTGGTTTCCACAGGGGACATCGCTGTGTTCAAAATCCATGTTGCTGCTAATTATTGACATATCCCAGAGTGTGCAAAGAAAAAAAACTTCCCCTAGCATATGGTATATAGAAAATAATTTAAAAAATGTCAGAACTATATTGGCATTTTGTAGACAAACTGACAATTAAAGGGTTAAAATTGGTTGTTACGATCACTGGCTTGTAACCATGAAGAAGTCTGTCAGGGTCACTATTCTGATAAATGATCACAACAAGTTCTAAATGCTTTAATCTGTTTATGAGAGAAGCAAGTGTAGAAATATCTGATGTACGCAACCGTTGAAAGCCAATGAAACAAAAGGCCCCAGATTATTTTTTTTCCAATTACTTAGTGCATGCATGAGTGTGTGCACACATTCAATTGGTCCTTCAGATGTGAGAGTCAGTGCGCCTGTCCCATTATTAGATCAGTAAAGACTCGCTAAAGGCAATTTCAGCCAAGTTTATTGATATTGAGTTCAGGCCAGGGGACGAACACCTGTTCTTAATGAAATGGAGCACACAGACTCTGAAATGTAATGGTGGTGAAGGAGTGACAAATAGAGAAGGAGTGGAAGAACAGAGAGCAAGAGAGAGAGAGGGAACGGGTGGATATGAGTCGGGGTAGCAACCAAATCAGATACATCTGTTTGTGCAGTAAACAACACATCTGAAATAAACAAAGAATGTGCCACGCAAACGTGTCTGCTCCTTTCAGTATGTGAGTTCCTGTGTATGAAGGATTCAGATGATGGGTTGGTAAAACTTTTTTAATTATACGAACGTAAACACTTGAAGGCAGTGGGAGGGTTTCTCGGTGCCAGGCTGTTAGAGTTGCATGCTTTAAAAGCTTGCTAACATACACACACACACACACACACACACACACACACACACACACACACACACACATCTAAGCCTATGACACAGATGACTGCTCCCAAACGTGCTCTTCAAAGTCTCTTCATTCAAAACACAGACACAAACACGCACACGATGAAGGTTAACAGGAGATCTAAAATCACGTTGTGTCCTTTCACACAGTCACATATGAAGAAGGAATTTTGTGCCCTTAGTAGTGTGCATGTAAAGGTAGATACTGATGGCTTTGAGGTTTGGTCAGACAAAAAAGTAGTGACCTTTGTGTGAGAAGTGAAGTAACTCAACATATCCGAGCTCCTTGATGGCAGCCTTGGATATGAATGAAGATTGTTTGTGTATAATTTGCAGTCTGGTCAGAGTCCTCGTGATATTCAGGAGTTTTCAGATGTCAGGGGTGGTTAAGAGAAAGGTTAAGTGCTTCTAAGGTCCTGTTCTCTGTCTGCGGTTACTGACAGTCACCATGTTGAGGAAAGTGTTGTTGCCAAAGCAACAGAGAGCAGGTCACTTTCGATGGTGCCGGCCAAGTGTGTGTGTGAGTGTGTGTGTGTGTGTGTGTGGATGCCATCAGCCCACTTTCATAATTTCAATATGCTGTTATGAAACTATGACACAAACTCGAGCTACAACGCATACAAAATAGCTCCGATGATGTGCTGAGAGAATATTTTAGTTTCATACACTATTTTTCCTTCAACAAATGTTTCTCCTCCTGAAATTTGAAAATTGCAGTAGGCTATATTGCAATTTTGATACAATTTGAATTAATTGTGCAGCTCTATTTTATTGCCAACTCTGCAAAACAGTCAAAATAGTGCGTCCAAAAAAGCTGCATCCAGCATTTCTACAGCTCCAAATCGGTATGCTTGAATCTGTGCCAAGAAATACTCAGCACGCATGCACACAGCTTGAACATAAGCATCGTTCAGTTGCACAGGGAGAATCAGAAATATACAAAAAAAAGGGTTTGCACACACGCGCGCTTTCTTTCTATTTCACACGAGCGCAGACACGGACAGATGGTGCCAGCCACACACCCAGCATGGGGTGTGTTTCAGTGAAACCGAGGAGAGCAAAAATATGAGTGAATAAGTCAGTGTGGGAGAAGGTATTTCGGTATATTTGCTAGCATGTGTAGCTGTGTGTGAGTGCGCTACTGCAGAGAGCTGCTACTGCTGCAGCGCGGCTGTTATTGCCCTCCCTGGGAGGAGATGGAAGATCTCTGATGGAGCTGCCAGTTCAAACACCGAGAGCAGCTGCAAACCGACAGTCACTACGGGTCCTCTTTGTCTGAGAGGGGAGGAAAGAGGGAGGAGAGGAGAGACGGGAGCACTGAAAGAGATGGTTCTTTTAAGCAAGAGATAGGAGAGAATAAGCTTTAGAGGGCCTCTGATGTCACCCAGCTTATGATGGCCATAGATGGGATTTCTGCCAGACAGTAAAAGCTTCCAGCGTGTTATGATCCAGCCTACATGACCTCTCTCTCTCTCTCTCTCTCTCTCTCTCTCTCTCTCTCTCTCTCTCATAGAGGTTCCTGCTGTTGTTATGAGAGGGATAAACGCTCCTTCCTCCCCCCCCCTGTGGATGAAAGCAGCAGTGTTTAGGAGCACCAGATTCCCTTTAGAAGACCTCTCATTTTACTGCAGCAGGGTCTGACAGCCTGCCCTACCCAGTCCTGGTTCTGGTTTTCCTGTGTCCCCCTTCCCTCCAGCGGGCCCACAATATCCCAGACTGAGCCTCCAGCAGCGTGGTGTCGGCTCCCTGCAGGTACTACTACCCTACTCCGCTTCTACAAATATGGACCTAGAGCCAGCAGGTGATTAGCTTGTATTAGCTTAGCATAAAGGCCGAAAACAGGGGGAAGAATCTAGCTTCGCTCTTTTCCAAATAACAAAAAAAATCTGCCTAATATTCCTTTAAAGCAAAGGGGTTTTATTATAGTGGTTTTATTTCAGATACATTTGAAATTTGAATAAGATGCAACAAAAATTATGTTGTTCCCACGAGGCTTTAACAAAATGTCAATAACTAAGACTCGTGGGTTGAAATGATGATGGTAATTCAATTTTAATTTAAATAATACTTAATTGAACTATATTGCTATGGGAAAAAACAACTTCCTGTTGTCATTATTATAGGTCCAGCATCTCTGCTACCCCACCAAGCCACTATAAAGTCAATAAAAGTCATCCTCTGGAGTCAGTCAAAAACAAATGAGTCCAAGAGATCAACCCTCTGAGAAGATGAAAACATTACTGTTAAAATCAAGCGTTCACTTCTGCTGGTGAAGAATATTTTTGATATGATTTTAAATGATGGTAGAATGAATTGACTTTAGCTCCTCGTGATGGTTTTAAACCACAATAAGTAGAGGAACCTCTTCGATACATTTTTCCAGGAACAAAAAAATGCTGAATAAACACACTTTCTCCGTCCTTGGCTCATTGGATTTCTTTGAAACTCTCCTCAGATTCCTCTGATAAAAACTTAACGAGGGGGAAAAAAGCAATAAGAACTTCTTTCCACTGTCCTGGAAACGGAACGTCTTGCAGTGTGCCCGTCAGATGAACTTATGTAACTACAAACAAGAGGGGAAGAAGAGGAGAGAGGTTGCAATGCAGCAGAGGAGAGGCCTGGTTTTTGTTTAAAAGATCAAGTTCAAGTTCAGCCCCCAGCCACGAGTTGATTTATTCAGAAAGAGATTTGTTGGCATGTTTCATAATATGCGCAAAGCTCTTCTCTTATTAATATTTTATATTCTGGGTTAAGGCTTCAAATTTGACATCTTGACAACAATGAAAACTCGTACATTTTACATACATTTTCTTGGCTCAGATAAACTCTACTTCCTTATCCCATGCATGCAGTACATAAATTAACGGTGTTCCCAATACACTAAACTATTTTGGATCTCATTTCTCAGCACTTCTTCATCACACACCCTCATTATGACCACACATGGATATTTTTAACAATTGCATAGGATTGGAACCTCCAATCTTACAACCGTACTATTGTTTGATTCCACTCTTTTCAATTAAAGAATTGGCATTCGCACTCACAGTTGCACCGAGTGTAAGTCATTCAAGATGAGACTCGGCTATATTGACCCCCAAAAAATGTAAATCACATACAGTTTGTCATTTATGAGCTCTCACAGGATAAGGCAGTGCTCATAAGCACATGCGGTCATCCATTCCCTGTCTCCCGTGCCGGTCGTAAAGCTGCCAATAAAGACTATTGTGTTCATGTCTCCAATAGGCAGGAATAGCCAATAGGCAACCACCCAAACGCCACGTTTGTTTTTGCGACTCGCAATGGCTTTGACATCTACTCTCAACCCCATTGATCCAAACCCACTGACATCAAGAATGAGGAATCAACAACGCAGAAAAGCAGCTCTCGCTAACAACTGAGATGCAGGGCAGTGAAAATCCCGATGTGCGCGTGCTGCAAAACACACAGATTTGCACAGAAGCAGAGTAGTTATGTAGGATCCAGTCCCATCCAGACTCACCACAAACCGTGGCAGGCCCGTACCCCCAGCGTTCCCTACGAAGATCCCCGAGCTGGCCTCGAAGGTCAGAGGCTGAGGGCTCTTGGTGAACGCCACTCGGTGGTATTCCTCACAGTCCATGTAGAGACGCACCTGAGCGACAAAGGGCACACGCACACTTGCTTATTTCCGGCAAATCGAAAAAAACAAATCTGTGGAAGAGACTTTATTCACTGCAGTCACACATATTGAGACATTTTATGACAACACCCTCATGTACTAAATATACATCTGTCAAAGATCAAATGCCACATGTAGCCTATTTAACACCCCTGTGTGTAGCTTTTGAAAAGTTTGGACTACTTCTACCATACAGGCAACACAAACTTGCATCAAAGTACTGTTAAAGAATGAATCTGTTTTCTTCTTATTGTTAACATCCCATTCATTCCATGAAGATACTAAAACCAACAGCGGATGTAACCTCATAACAAGTGCTGTATCTGCAGCCAAAGCCTTGTTTCTCCGTGCTACAGAGCTCCATTGTTGTCCATAAACCATTAAAATCACATGAATGAGCCACTGTTGCATTGGCTGACATGATCCTTAATTACAGTGCACACAGGCACTGTAGTTTATCTTGAGTCACATACAGCATCCTGCTGCTGTAAATACTCACTAGTGAACCAAATCGAGTAAGAAGGACAAAGCCCGACTCAACCATTTTGTTATTAAAATGCTTGCGCTTCCAATATTTGTATCCATATTAGGTCCATGGTGGTCCCAAAGTTCACATAATTTGCTTCATTTCTTTACTTCAAAATCCTTGTCTCCCAATTTTTGTGTAGAAATCAGTAGAACCAGACAATTTTGTCATTAAAATAATCAACCTGTTTGTGATTCATTGATGTCGAAATACCACCCATAGCATCTTTACCCAAACAAAGGGACAGTAAACCCACCTCTGCCCCCTGTACAGTCAGGGTGAACCGCGCCCATCTTCCCGTCAGGTCTCCCATTTTGAAGGAAGCTGCTTCCTGGGTCCCACCTCTTGTTCCTGGGTCGGTGTAGTACAATATGACTCTCTGGGAAGCATCCTCCACCTCGGACAACGCTACACCTAAGTGTACGATCTTACAACAAATACCAAGAGATGTAGAGAATCGTTATTTACTTCCATGTAGTAGAGAGGTTTGTGCTAAAGAAAAGGTAATAACAGGAAAACAGAGGAGTGGAGATGAAAGGATTTACGTGGCTTACCTTTTGGTAAGCATCTGTGATGGCGAACAGCACACCACCACTCCGCGTGGTGGGTTTAGCTGTGACCGTGATGGCGAAGTCGTGATAGAACGGGTCGGGGATGAAGGACTTTGTGAGGCGGCCCACGTTGGCGTCCGGGCCGAAGCTGTAGGCGGGGTAACCCTCGAAACCCGTAACAAAGGAGACGGAGGGAGGGAGGGGGACGCCGATCAACTCCGTCAGGTCCAAGGCTGCCAGAGAAGCGCGGTCTGCAAAGAAACAACACGGACACCATGTTAGTGGAAGGGGAAAAGAAAATACGTTTCTCTTGCAACCAAGTGTATCGATGGCCTACTGACACCTTTACCAAACACAAATAAACTAAAGCTGAAAAAGTCCTCAAACAAAGAGGCACAAGAAGACTGATTGCTGCCACGTGGTCGTATGGAAACAGCATGATGTCAAACTGAACTTCACGGGAGTAGATCAAGGCATTTCATGCATTTGCTGGTGCCAAAAGCCATTTTTATCTCAGTCACTGCAATTAGTGTGTTAATGATGTATGACAAATCCTGATTGTCTGGGAGCACCTACAGCCATATCTTCCCTTTAGCCTTCTTCTCAAGAGAAGTGAAAATCCTTTCATTTCTTAATAGAATTACTAGGGATGATCACTATAGTAGTTTTCTATATATATCCAGGTCCTTGTATGGCTTGTACTTTGTGGGAATATACACCACTAAAAGCCCTTTAATTAGTGAACAATTACCTCAAGTTAATGGCATTTCTTATTCATTTTTGCTTGTAGATATTCTTTTGTGAATTTGTGTTTGACTTATCTGCAAACCCGCGGTCGGGCTGGCATCTGTGGCTAGACAAGACATAACAAAGCTGCCATGTGAAGTGTGCTGTGTGCTCCGCGTTTGACGGATACTTGGAGGTGACAGCGTACACAATCCATAGAGAGACACCGGTCGACCTGCAGTTCGTTTTCGCCCCCCCTTAGTGGGTTAATCCAGCCACGGGTCACAGGACTGATATGTTATCCTAGAAATTAAAGCATTCCACAGTGCAGACAGTGTGGGAGGTGAAGTCACCTTATAATTCATCTTTCCATTTCCTGCAAGACTGAATTTAGCGAAGTTATTAAGCTGAATAGATTATTATTTTCATTACATTCTGATTTGTTTCACCAAAAAATATATATTTAATTTATATTACTTTCAATTAGACCGTGGAGTTAAGAGAGCCGTGAGCCGTGAGCACCCTGTTAGGTTCCAGCTATCGTTGCTTCTGTCTTTAGACATGTTGGAGTTTGACAACATGTTAGACACACCCCATAAAGTTTGCCAAGAGTGTGAGAAGGAGCTTCCATCCATCTAAAGCTCCCACTCATGTCACTACTGTACGCATGGCTGAACGCACACTCGCCTACTCACTTTTCTGTCCGTCATGCATGCACACATAAGTGCAAACACACACACACACACACACACACACACACACACGTCCAGTCCTTAAGCATGCCAGAAAGCGCGTGCTCTCATTCTCCCTCTCGACAGACATGCAAGCACTTAGTGAATGCCCACCTACTGTACAGTCTTTTATAGACACACACACATGCACACTCGCAGTCCCATCTACACCTGGTTCTCCTTAGCGAGCAGAAACCTAGAACAATCGTCTGTTCTATGAGAGCGCATGGGGCAGCGGGGTACAGAGGCTGGGCATCTGGAAGACATTAGGTTAGACTAATACACACGTGCTGCGCAGTGGCAGCTCCTGTGAATTAGGCTTACCGTGTGTGTGTGTGTGACGGAGTGACAAAGACAAAAAGAGTGGGGCAAAGAGACACAGACTTAGGGGAAACAGTAAGACTTTCATGAGCTCAGTGTGTGTGCGTGTGGTCAGTAAGCCTCCCCGCAGGAAGAGAGGCGCACTTCTTCCCCCGAGCGTTAATTGGATTGAAACGCCGACAGAGTGTGGCAATTAAAAAATAACAATGAAGTGCAACCCACACCGTAACCTGCACCGCAGCTGAATACTGGATTGTAGTTTAGAGCTGCATCTGTTCAAACACCGTCTCTGTGATACTTTGAGGAAGAAATTGTGATTAAGCAGACTTTGAACAGTCATTTCTACATTTCACTCTTTTGGAAGACGCTTAGGTTAAAAGTGATTTACAGCAAAGTGCATTCAAACTTCATATGAACAAAAGCTACAAACAAATAAACGCATTTTCCGTAGGTACAAGTGCTTAGTTTGTATTTCTCTTGAGAGGACGTTCTTTTCTTCACTTTCAGACTCTCATTAATCCGACGCAGTGAAATCTAAGAAAGCTAAAACAAGTTCTAATAAATACTCTTTGACCCATTTCTGATTCCAGTGAGGCCTGTTGGCTGCCTCGCCACCAGACATTATTCCTTCTCTGTGTTGTTAAGGCAAAGTCCTGCCAGAGTGTGTCGGCCAACATTCCCACAGTTCGGCCCGTCACTTCGCTCCGTCTTTGCCCGAAAGTGACATCACTGCAGATGTTCCTCCACACAGCTGGACAGATCACCAATGGAAACTAAGACAGCAGGAATCCACGAGAGCTTCGCCGAGTCAGCGCCCCGTCCTGTGTCACACATTGTCCCAACGACATACTGTATCTGTAAGCAAGCCAATCATGTTGACGAGATGTGAAGACCTTGATGATTTCTGGATGTTCTCATCTTCAGAAATACTGTGAATAATGAAAGCAGAGCGGTGAAACATGTAAAACATCCCAGTGCGAGACGTCGTCAGCTGTGAGTAATTCGGGTTAATAAGGGTGTGACTTCCCAGAGTAATCAGGCTTGGCTGAGTCGGAGCAGCACCTGCACTGGAACAGGGCGAGAGAGAGAGAGAAAGCAGAGGAAAGGCTCCGGAGATGCCGTACATGTCCTCCGGCTACAGCGCTCGCAGTAATAACTTCAAGATGTGTGGACGGAGCACAAGATGCTGCCGCGTGATTCTGTGGAATACCACTCGCTGTAGTGAGGTGAACTCCCTTTTCTTGGGAAGAGGAGGATGTGTTGGCTCGTAAAATACATGGAGATGAGCTGAACTCTGTGTTATTAGTGCAGACACAGTGACATCAGACTTAATCACAGTGCAGGCAGCGCTCTCACACACAGGATGTGACGTTTAGTGTCAATCACAAAAGTGAGACATATAAGTCAAATTGAAGTAATCAGGTCTATTGTACTCGCTGTGTGTGTGACTGAGAAAGTCCCCGTGTGACACATTGTTATAAGGTATGCGTGTATTTGTGCATCAGTATTTGAGGCTAAATCGGCAGGAGAGCTAGTTAACGTTAGCTGTTAACTTGAATAAACACAGTTGTGGAGGAGATGTTTTTTTGACTTTGCTAAGATGTAGAGATACAGTATTAAGGCTTGATCAGAAAGAAAGAAAGAAAGAAAGAAAGAAAGAAAAAGGATAATAATGTGGAGATGATGGACACAGTATTTGGAGAGCTCTAAATGGCGTCGGCCAAAGCCCTTCAGCTGTCAGTCCACAGCAGTTTGTAATGAGCTGTCACATCTAATGAGAGACTGAGCAAAGGGAATCTAATCAACCCTCAGTCATCTATCGCTCCACATCACAGACACTCAGATTGGTGTTTCAGCACAACACGACAGAATAAAAGTGCCTCATGAACTTTATCCAAACATGTGGCGATGCAAAGTCTCATGTTGCACAGCAGATCCTTTGTGGCTGTGGTCACACCACATCTTACTCTCCCCCGGGGCCCGTCACACCGTGTAATCATTTTAACCCTCGTCTGTTCCAACATCTTTAAGCCTGATTGACGTGGACTTATATAAACACACATGTGCCGAAAAACTGTTAATGTCATAATTTGACAGTCAGCTCTAAATAAAGGTAATAATGAGCTATTATAGAGGGGCATTTCTTGCATAAATAGTTACTTCTTGCCAGCTGTCTTTGACATATTAAATGTCTGAGTGCTCCTGAATGCAAGAGGAGGGCAAGCATCTGCTAACAGTTGCATTACCAGACAACAATGACTTGCTTTTGACAAAAATTTGATTAAATGGCTGCTTTGAATTTGTTTTAAATCATAGACATGCTGTCGTATTGTGAAGTAAACATAGAAGACCATGCTTGTAGCTTTCTAAGATGTCATGGACTCCACCAGTGGTTTAACACCTGTTTAGTTGTGAAGTGGCTTACTGCAGGTAACCAGATGTTCCCCTCAGATCTGTGAGTTTAAGTACATTTGAGTAAAACAGGGATTTCCTTTCTATTCTGATCCATTCTATAACTACGGATTAACTCTCCAAAGGGCTTCAACTCTTTCATCCAGGTAGACGAAACAAGACGCCTCACATCCTTTCATCCAGAGGCTTGCGGTGTTTCACTGACAGTGCCGAGGTGACGTCAGCCATGTGTCGTGTTGAAAAGCAGGAAGTTATGGGTAAACCGCTGAGACCACACAGCCTGCGTATTTAACTTGAGAACGTATACAAGAGCATGTGTGTGTGTGTGTGTGTGTGTGTGTGTGTGACCAGGTGAGGTTACAGGCCTCCCATTTAGCACAAAGCTGCTCTGTTGGTGTTGAGCTAAAGCGCCAAGTCAGTGCAGTTATTACGAGGAGCAGAGCAGATGTAAGTGTTAACGCTCTCACTGTGATCAAAGACTCACAGCGCTTTGCTCAGCGATGAATAGATCTTGTTCAGGGTGATGCCAGAAACAATGGCACTTTTTTTTTCTCACTTGTATTATTGTTCGACGAAAATGACTATAAGCTCGTCTGTGTTGGCGTAGCGTATAAAGAAACAGACCTCAGGTGCTGCAGTTATGTGTTTCTTGACTTACTTCACACTTTGCTTAGACAATGAAATGTTATTTGTATAGATAGAGGGCAAGATTTCACTGCTGATGCTAGTAAATCTTGTTTTCTGTAGTCAAAATGTATATTTTTACAATATTTCTCAACCTCATGGATTTATAAACATGCTAACCAGTTTAGCAGGCTTTATTTTCATTATCAGTTATGTACGCAAGGAAGGCAGAGAGACCCAAAGTCCCACTGTCTCACTCTCTGACCTCTAACACATCTAAAGTATTCATGGGAGTGTGGCCGTCATGTTAAAGTAGAAATGAGAGATTCATTTATTTTAGGAATGAGGCAGCACCTGCGTATGTGACTCCTGGATGATAGGAATGTGACAGTCCCGCTCAGATAGGAGGAAGAGGCCTGCTGTGCACAGAAAGAGAC